AAATTGTGATTTCTTTGGTAAAGAACGAGATTATTCCAAGTTATAGGCTTCTTTTCCTGAAAACCTTGTGTCTAGCAATTTGTTTACTCAAAATTGTGATTTCTTTGATGAAGAACTAGATCATTCCAAGTAGGCTTCTTTTGCTGAAAAACTCGTGTCCAGAAAGTTTTTTACACAAGCTTCTTTTAAAAACAACTGAAGACTCCGTGTATCAAAATTGTGATTTCTTTGGTAAAGAACGAGATTATTCCAAGTTATAGGCTTCTTTTCCTGAAAACCTTGTGTCTAGCAATTTGTTTACTCAAAATTGTGATTTCTTTGATGAAGAACTAGATCATTCCAAGTAGGCTTCTTTTGCTGAAAAACTCGTGTCCAGAAAGTTTTTTACACAAGCTTCTTTTAAAAACAACTGAAGACTCCGTGAATCAAAATTGTGATTTCTTTGGTAAAGAACGAGATTATTCCAAGTTATAGGCTTCTTTTCCTGAAAACCTTGTGTCTAGCAATTTGTTTACTCAAAATTGTGATTTCTTTGATGAAGAACTAGATCATTCCAAGTAGGCTTCTTTTGCTGAAAAACTCGTGTCCAGAAAGTTTTTTACACAAGCTTCTTTTAAAAACAACTGAAGCCTCCGTGTATCAAAATTGTGATTTCTTTGGTAAAGAACGAGATTATTCCAAGTTATAGGCTTCTTTTCCTGAAAGCCTTGTGTCTAGCAATTTGTTTACTCAAAATTGTGATTTCTTCGATGAAGAACTAAATCATTCCAAGTAGGCTTTTTTTGCTGAAAAACTCGTGTCAGGAAAGTTTTTTACACAAGCTTCTTTTAAAAACAACTGAAGCCTCCGTGTATCAAAATTGTGATTTCTTTGGTAAAGAACGAGATTATTCCAAGTTATAGGCTTCTTTTCCTGAAAGCCTTGTGTCTAGCAATTTGTTTACTCAACATTGTGATTTCTTTGATGAAGAGCTAGATCATTCCAAGTAGGCTTCTTTTGCTGAAAAACTCGTGTCCAGAAAGTTTTTTACACAAGCTTCTTTTAAACACAACTGAAGCCTCCGTGTATCAAAATTGTGATTTCTTTGGTAAAGAACGAGATTATTCCAAGTTATAGGCTTCTTTTCCTGAAAACCTTGTGTCTAGCAATTTTTTTACTCAAAATTGTGATTTCTTTGATGAAGAACTAGATCATTGCAAGTAGGCTTCTTTTGCTGAAAAACTCGTGTCCAGAAAGTTTTTTACACAAGCTTCTTTTAAAAACAACTGAAGCCTCCGTGCATCAAAATTGTGATTTCTTTGGTAAAGAACGAGATTATTCCAAGTTATAGGCTTCTTTTCCTGAAAACCTTGTGTCTAGCAATTTGTTTACTCAAAATTGTGATTTCTTTGATGAAGAACTAGATCATTCCAAGTAGGCTTCTTTTGCTGAAAAACTCGTGTCCAGAAAGTTTTTTACACAAGCTTCTTTTAAAAACAACTGAAGACTCCGTGAATCAAAATTGTGATTTCTTTGGTAAAGAACGAGATTATTCCAAGTTATAGGCTTCTTTTCCTGAAAACCTTGTGTCTAGCAATTTGTTTACTCAAAATTGTGATTTCTTTGATGAAGAACTAGATCATTCCAAGTAGGCTTCTTTTGCTGAAAAACTCGTGTCCAGAAAGTTTTTTACACAAGCTTCTTTTAAACACAACTGAAGCCTCCGTGTATCAAAATTGTGATTTCTTTGGTAAAGAACGAGATTATTCCAAGTTATAGGCTTCTTTTCCTGAAAACCTTGTGTCTAGCAATTTGTTTACTCAAAATTGTGATTTCTTTGATGAAGAACTAGATCATTCCAAGTAGGCTTCTTTTGCTGAAAAACTCGTGTCCAGAAAGTTTTTTACACAAGCTTCTTTTAAAAACAACTGAAGACTCCGTGAATCAAAATTGTGATTTCTTTGGTAAAGAACGAGATTATTCCAAGTTATAGGCTTCTTTTCCTGAAAACCTTGTGTCTAGCAATTTGTTTACTCAAAATTGTGATTTCTTTGATGAAGAACTAGATCATTCCAAGTAGGCTTCTTTTGCTGAAAAACTCGTGTCCAGAAAGTTTTTTACACAAGCTTCTTTTAAAAACAACTGAAGCCTCCGTGTATCAAAATTGTGATTTCTTTGGTAAAGAACGAGATTATTCCAAGTTATAGGCTTCTTTTCCTGAAAGCCTTGTGTCTAGCAATTTGTTTACTCAAAATTGTGATTTCTTCGATGAAGAACTAAATCATTCCAAGTAGGCTTTTTTTGCTGAAAAACTCGTGTCAGGAAAGTTTTTTACACAAGCTTCTTTTAAAAACAACTGAAGCCTCCGTGTATCAAAATTGTGATTTCTTTGGTAAAGAACGAGATTATTCCAAGTTATAGGCTTCTTTTCCTGAAAGCCTTGTGTCTAGCAATTTGTTTACTCAACATTGTGATTTCTTTGATGAAGAGCTAGATCATTCCAAGTAGGCTTCTTTTGCTGAAAAACTCGTGTCCAGAAAGTTTTTTACACAAGCTTCTTTTAAACACAACTGAAGCCTCCGTGTATCAAAATTGTGATTTCTTTGGTAAAGAACGAGATTATTCCAAGTTATAGGCTTCTTTTCCTGAAAACCTTGTGTCTAGCAATTTTTTTACTCAAAATTGTGATTTCTTTGATGAAGAACTAGATCATTGCAAGTAGGCTTCTTTTGCTGAAAAACTCGTGTCCAGAAAGTTTTTTACACAAGCTTCTTTTAAAAACAACTGAAGCCTCCGTGCATCAAAATTGTGATTTCTTTGGTAAAGAACGAGATTATTCCAAGTTATAGGCTTCTTTTCCTGAAAACCTTGTGTCTAGCAATTTGTTTACTCAAAATTGTGATTTCTTTGATGAAGAACTAGATCATTCCAAGTAGGCTTCTTTTGCTGAAAAACTCGTGTCCAGAAAGTTTTTTACACAAGCTTCTTTTAAAAACAACTGAAGACTCCGTGAATCAAAATTGTGATTTCTTTGGTAAAGAACGAGATTATTCCAAGTTATAGGCTTCTTTTCCTGAAAACCTTGTGTCTAGCAATTTGTTTACTCAAAATTGTGATTTCTTTGATGAAGAACTAGATCATTCCAAGTAGGCTTCTTTTGCTGAAAAACTCGTGTCCAGAAAGTTTTTTACACAAGCTTCTTTTAAAAACAACTGAAGCCTCCGTGTATCAAAATTGTGATTTCTTTGGTAAAGAACGAGATTATTCCAAGTTATAGGCTTCTTTTCCTGAAAGCCTTGTGTCTAGCAATTTGTTTACTCAACATTGTGATTTCTTTGATGAAGAGCTAGATCATTCCAAGTAGGCTTCTTTTGCTGAAAAACTCGTGTCCAGAAAGTTTTTTACACAAGCTTCTTTTAAACACAACTGAATCCTCCGTGTATCAAAATTGTGATTTCTTTGGTAAAGAACGAGATTATTCCAAGTTATAGGCTTCTTTTCCTGAAAGCCTTGTGTCTAGCAATTTGTTTACTCAAAATTGTGATTTCTTCGATGAAGAACTAGATCATTCCAAGTAGGCTTCTTTTGCTGAAAAACTCGTGTCCAGAAAGTTTTTTACACAAGCTTCTTTTAAAAACAACTGAAGCCTCCGTGTATCAAAATTGTGATTTCTTTGGTAAAGAACGAGATTATTCCAAGTTATAGGCTTCTTTTCCTGAAAGCCTTGTGTCTAGCAATTTGTTTACTCAAAATTGTGATTTCTTCGATGAAGAACTAAATCATTCCAAGTAGGCTTTTTTTGCTGAAAAACTCGTGTCAGGAAAGTTTTTTACACAAGCTTCTTTTAAAAACAACTGAAGCCTCCGTGTATCAAAATTGTGATTTCTTTGGTAAAGAACGAGATTATTCCAAGTTATAGGCTTCTTTTCCTGAAAGCCTTGTGTCTAGCAATTTGTTTACTCAACATTGTGATTTCTTTGATGAAGAGCTAGATCATTCCAAGTAGGCTTCTTTTGCTGAAAAACTCGTGTCCAGAAAGTTTTTTACACAAGCTTCTTTTAAACACAACTGAAGCCTCCGTGTATCAAAATTGTGATTTCTTTGGTAAAGAACGAGATTATTCCAAGTTATAGGCTTCTTTTCCTGAAAACCTTGTGTCTAGCAATTTTTTTACTCAAAATTGTGATTTCTTTGATGAAGAACTAGATCATTGCAAGTAGGCTTCTTTTGCTGAAAAACTCGTGTCCAGAAAGTTTTTTACACAAGCTTCTTTTAAAAACAACTGAAGCCTCCGTGCATCAAAATTGTGATTTCTTTGGTAAAGAACGAGATTATTCCAAGTTATAGGCTTCTTTTCCTGAAAACCTTGTGTCTAGCAATTTGTTTACTCAAAATTGTGATTTCTTTGATGAAGAACTAAATCATTCCAAGTAGGCTTCTTTTGCTGAAAAACTCGTGTCCAGTAAGTTTTTTACACAAGCTTCTTTTAAAAACAACTGAGCCTCCGTGCATCAAAATTGTGATTTCTTTGGTAAAGAACGAGATTATTACAAGTTATAGGTTTCTTTTCCTGAAAACCTTGTGTCTAGCAATTTTTTTACTCAAAATTGTGATTTCTTTGATGAAGAACTAGATCATTCCAAGTAGGCTTCTTTTGCTGAAAAACTCGTGCCCTGAAAGTTTTTTACACAAGCTTCTTTTAAAAACAACTGAAGCCTCCGTGTATCAAAATTGTGATTTCTTTGGTAAAGAACGAGATTATTCCAAGTTATAGGCTTCTTTTCCTGAAAACCTTGTGTCTAGAAATTTGTTTACTCAAAATTTTGATTTCTTTGATGAAGAACTAGACGATTCCAAGTAGGCTTCTTTTGCTGAAAAACTCGTGTCCAGAAAGTTTTTTACACAAGCTTCTTTTAAAAACGACCGAGGTCTCCGTGTATCAAAATTATGACTTCTCTAGATTATTCCAAGCTTGTGAGAGAAATGTGAAAGTGAATTTAATGAAAAATTATTCAACTTACTATGTGAATTAACATCCCAATAGCCTGCTAAGTACCCTGACACTTCAGATCTAGTTAGATGGCAATGGAAGTCCATCAATAAAGCTGCATTTGTTGACAGTGAAACCAAAAATGGTTGGATTTTCCCCAGATTGGAGAAGGGTACACAGTCTATCATTGTATTAGCATCACTGGAATAATAACACGATCATTATACTGACAGCTAATTAAAAAATGTTGAGGTCTTACTGTGTTAACATCCTGTTGGCAATAGTGTTATGCTTTACAACAATGTATTGACACATCATCCTGCTAACAATCCTTTGTGGAATATTCAAGTTCAACTGTACACCTGGAAGAATTCATATTGTAGTAGCATACAGGGTGTCCCAATATTCCGTGGACATAAAAGTACCATGAAGTGTGTGAACTGTCAAGGAGGATAAAAAATAAATTCAGCTGTGGTATAAATGAAGTTCCAACAACAATAGTAAAACTTTCCGTTCCAGTTTTAAAACATGTTTTGTGCTTACTTATTAATGATGCTTTTAGACAAGGATCATTCCCAGAGAATTTGAAAATAGCTGTTATAAAAAGGTAATCCAGAGCAATTAGAAAATTATAGGCCAATCAATATTTTAACAGGTTTTTCAAAATTATTTGAGTTAGGCATCAGTAAGAGATTATTAGAATTTATGAATGAATGTAATTTATTTAATACACATCAGCATGGTTACCTACATGGGAGATCAACAGAAACTGCAATCTTTCAATTTGTTCAAACAGTACTTAAGCAATTAGAGGAGGGAAACTTAGCGGTTGGTTTCTACCTGGACTTGTCAGAAGCTTATGATTGCATCAACAGAGACATATTGTTATTAAAGCTACAAAGATATGGTGTAAGAGGAACTGCGCTAAAGTTGTTCAAGTCATACCTCTATAATAGATAACAGAAGGTTGAAATTGTTAAAGGAGGTCAAACTTACAAGTCAAACATTGAGTATTAAGCAATTTCTAGTACAGTTAGAGCCTTATACAATAGATGAGTTCTATGGGAGTTGTAATAGTTTAAGATTGTAGCTGTTTTAAGATAAATAACCATGTAACAAAAAAAAAAGGTCTCAGGTAAACTACTATAGTTATGGTGATAGTGGCGCAACATTTCATTTTGTAGTGGCTATACGATTATTACCACGTATTTTCACTCAAATAATTTACATTTATGCAAAAGTGCTCAGTTTACCCGTTAGCAGGCGTCAAATTTTTCTTTTTAAAACATATTTTTTTTAAGATATCTCAAGAACCGATAGTACCTACCATTTGAATGAAATTTGGAACACATATGTTTTGCTAGAAGTTCTTATACAGGGTGGGGCAAAAGTCGCGAAGGGATTTGAAAAATTAATAACTTTTTTAAATTTTAATTTTAATTTTTTTCCCTAACACAAAACTAAAATGCAATGTTTGGAGTTTGTTTACAATTTAAGTGTGAAAGATTACATCACGCAAATGACCGCCATTTTCAGCCTCGCAAAGTGCAGCTCTTGCAAGAGCATTTTCCATTACCCGAGTCAGAATATCTGGCCCCAAAGCACTTACTTCTGCTCGAATATTATCTTTTAGTTGCTGCAGGGTTGTGGGTTTATTAATATACACTTTTCCTTTCAGATATCCCCAAAGGAAATAATCAGGGGCTGTTAAGTCCGGCGAGCGGGCGGGCCAATTGAATCCTGAATTTCTCGAAATTAAACGTTCGCCAAAAATCTGCCTTAGAAGGTGCATAGTGGCTCGAGCAGTATGCGCAGTGGCTCCATCTTGTTGGAAAGTCATCGTTTGATTGTCAGCAAGAGCTGGTCTTAAGAAATTTTGAATCATATCACGATATCGGTCGCCATCTACAGATACAGCATTCCCATCGTGGCCTTCGAAGAAGAATGGTCCAATAATTCGTTGAGACGTAACTGCGCACCATACTGTACATTTAAGCGGATGTAATTGCCTTTGATGAACCACCCTTGGGTTCTCGGTACCCCATATTCTGCAGTTCTGCTTATTTACGAAGCCATTCAAATGAAAATGGGCTTCATCGCTCATGATCAGAGAATGAATAAATTCATTATCTTCTCGAGCCATTCTTTGCAAGCGAACTGCATAAGTTAGTCGTTCTTGAAAATCTGCTGGTTTTAGTTCTTGCACTAGCTGCACTTTATATGGAAACAGATGTAAATTTCCTCTTAATATTCTGCGTAAAGACCTTTGAGACATCTGCAGCTCAGCAGAACGTCTTCGGGTTGAGGTTTCCGGATTCTCCTGAACACTCACTCTCCTGAACGCGTTGAATGTTCCCTTCATTTCTTGCGGAACGTGGCCTTCCGCTTCGTGGGAGATCCATAACTGTGCCTTGTTGCTGAAATCGTGCCACTAAGCGTCGAATCATTGATTCAGAGGGCGAATTCCGCAAATTGAAATGACGACGATATGCTCGTTGAGTTTGAATTATTGAATGGTGATATTCAAAATAAAATTCTATAAGTTTGGTTCGTTGATTGAGGTTGTAACGCTCCATAATTAATCTCCAGGATTTATTTTACACGGTCCTGAAAAAAAAAATGAAAACAAAATAAATTTAAAAAAGTTATTAATTTTTCAAATCCCTTCGTGACTTTTGCCCCACCCTGTATTTAACTTTTACGAAAAACTCTAAAGGTTTCGAAATGAGTGAAAACTACCCCCACCGCTACCCGTTTTCCCACGACTCGGAACTTTCTTTATTTAGCAGATCTTTTCATTCACTCCATTTTTTGTCTCATAAAATCAGTCGAACTCGCAGTTTTTCGAACTTTGTTTCTAAAAATTTTGAGTTAAGAAAAAGTCTGCTATAATTTAGGGGGTAGTTTATTCACCTTTCTCGGATCGTTTCGGTTGTTTTTTTTGTAAAAGTCAAATATTAAGACATCTAGCAAAACACATGTGATCGAAATCCCATTCAATTGAAACTATCCGTTCCAAAAATATCTGATAAAATGTGCTTCAAAAAGAAAACTTTGACGCCCTCTATCGCACACCCGGAACACTTTTGCACAGAGGTAAATCATGTCGAATCGACTTATTTTGTGTCTAAAAATACGGGTTACTTTTATTTTCACGGAATATTAGGATGCCCTGAATAGTAGTTCTTAAAAAAACAAACACGATATTACGGTTTGATCAAAAGAGAAATGCATGAATGGCTCAGCCAAAAGTGAAGACTTCATTTATGTACAGTAATGGACAAAAGTATATAGACGAATATGAATATTTACCTAAATACCTTTAGAAAACGAATTCATACTAAATTGCTCCATAAACAAAATCGTTATTAGTAGAAAAATTAAATTCCTTGTTTTTACATTATCTGCAATGAACACAATACAAGTCTAAATGTAAGCACTTTTTTATGAGGGATAAAAAATATGTAGACAAATTCTTTTCAACATTAGTACAGTTTCGTGTCAGAAGAGGATTAGTTTGTGTTCATCAAGTATCGTGGATTAAGTTGAGTGATTTTAAGACCATGCCGCGTGGTCCAGAAATTTCTTTCGATGTGAAAACTAAGATCATTGAGTTATACAAAGATGGTCAACGACAAGTCGAAATTGCCAAAAATTTTAAGCTGAAGCGTAAAGCAGTTTGGTCAATATTGAACAAATATAAACAAAAAGGTATCTTGGAAGCCTCTAAGAGAAGTGGTCGGTCTAGAAAACTAAATGCTAGATAAGTTAGATTAATAAAAGTAATTTCGTCCAAAGATCCGTTTAAAACCTTAAGACAAATAAAAGCCGAAATCGAGACTGGAAGAGGGTATGTTTCAGCGACGAATCCAAGTTAAATATGTTTGGATCAGATGGTATTCATTACGTTAGACGTCCTAGTGGACAAAGATTGAACCCCAAGTACACTTTGCCCCCTGTCAAACATGGAGGCGGGTCTGTTATGGTTTGGGGGTGCTTTTCGGGGTTTGGGATGGGGCGTTTACATAGAATAGATGGCATTATGGATAAGTTTGTATACACAGACATACTAAAGCATGTCATGTTACCCTATATGGAAGACAATATGCCCTTAAGATCAATCTTCCAGCAAGATAATGACCCGAAGCATACTTCAAGTTTCGGAAAGAAATTCTTTCTGGATGAAGAAATACCAGTTCTCAAATGGCCTTCACAGTCTCCCGATATAAACCCCATTGAAAATCTATCAGAATACTTAGATAAGCAAATACGAGGTAAAAATTATTCAAACAATGATGAACTTTTTGCCGCCTTAGAGCAAAAGTGGAGACAGATTGATGAATCTTATATCAAGAAACTTCTACAATCTATGCCGAGACGATGCCAGGCGGTGATTGATAATAATGGTTATGCTACAAAATATTAACACAAACTTGGTTGGTATTCTATAATTCAATGAACTTTGCTTCTTTTTTCTATAATTGTTTAGCTTTGTCTATATATTTTTGTCCTTCATAGTTAAAGTTTTTTTCAATTATTTTTTTATTGAAGGGAGTCTAATGAATTTATTTATGTATAAGCGAGTATTATGCTATAACGAATTATGTATACAGGTTGGTGTATTAATAAAACAAGTTAAAAAGAAAAACAGCACAATATTAATTCGTCTATATACTTTTGTCCATTACTGTATGTTTTTCGACTTTCGCAGCATTTTAGAGAAATAATGACTAAATCTTTATCACAATATAAAGAACTTAACTTCACTTACTAGTTTCCTTTTCTTGCTTCTGTTCCTCCTCTTCCTTTTTCTTCTTATACCAAACGTTCTTGTACGCGTCCAATTTCTTTCCCTTATACTTTACAGACGCCCATCCACATCCAGACTTTTTATCAGGATTGATAAACCTCTTGCATGCAATTGCCCATGCACTTGGTGAGGCAAATACTATGTCAGTCTCTTGGCTTCTTATTTTTCCATCTTCTAGAAGGTCTCCCACAAACTTTTGGCCCTATACATATAATTGTTCATAAAAACTATTTGTAAGATTGTGAATTAAATACAGTGAAATGACCCTTCGCGGAAAAACATTCATCTAATTAATTGTTGTCCAAATCCTTCTGCAGTGTAGTAGTAAAACATAGTCATGTTGTGCATCGTTTTTTGACGTAGATCCGGTTTTTGATCAGCTTGCCATGTGTCTTCTTCTACATCTTTTAACATCAAATACTAGCACCACTATCACTGATGGACTTTTGATGCTGGCAGCATAGACTGTCCAAAGCTTGACTATTGCAAGTCAAAAGGGTACGCTTAGCATAATTTGTCGTTATCCCAAAGAAAATATAATATAAATTTACCAGATACTCAATTGTCATAGCACCAGGCCCAGGTTCCAAGATACCTGCAGATAGAAGATTCTGCAACGTAATACTGCGATGGGTTGATTCTTTCCCAGATGCCTGTTTGGAACTGTTCTTAGCATGATCATCTGTATCCTGAAAAGTCATTTTCTATCTTCATCTTATTTTATATTCAATTTTCTGAAAAATGAACACTGAGAAAACAAACTACACAAAACTATGAGCCAGACAAAACTTTCTATACTCAAAAACTAAAGCAATATATACTAGTACTTAAAATGTTGCTACATTTCTTCATTATTTATAACATTGAAAGTCTAATGGCTATAGCTCCTAAGATATTATCATTTCACATCCTGTGCTTAAAAGATATTAACCCTATAATATATTGTAGTCAGATTTATCATTTGTGCTTGAAAAAGACGAAACGTGTCAATAAAGAGTAATTCAAACATATGTGGTTTCATTTAGTGGACAGAGAAACATGAAGGATTATACCATTTACTAACATTTTACCTATTGTTCTTAGAGGGATCTGAAACATACTAGTGCCATCTATGAGACAGTATTGGAGCACAAAATTGAATTTAGAAACTAACTTTAAAAAGAGTTAGAAAGCTTGGTATTGTTATTGTCTCATAGATGGTGTCCAGGATCTTAATTTTTCTTTCTGGCACCTGGCATTGATTAACATATTTTGCCAGGTGATACCCAATTACTGAAATGAAAACTCCAGTGGCATTTATGAGACAGTAGCTCAACTCTTATCAAAGTGAATTCATTTTGGTGTTCTGTTACTGCTTCAACGATGATGCTAATATGTTTTAGAAACCCTTTTGGAACATCAGTATACAGTATCTGGTTGGCTGTATTCACATAGAATACATTATTGCTTATAGCAACACATCAAATGCTTTCAAAGTTTTTCCCTTAAGTTTATCTAAATGTGTTTTTGTATTTGCCAGTGCTTTAGTGTTACTTTTAATGTATGAGTACTAGTAATGAGCATATATCAAACTAAAACCTAATAACATTAGAGTTTGCTAGTAAAAAAAGTATGTAGAATGTTAAAATCTTTAAATATCAGGCAATAAAAGTATTAATATCAAATATTGAATACTAAAATAGAGTATAAAGTATACTGAAAAGTGAGAATAGTATAATAATTTTGTGTAGCAACATACTGTATGTACGAGCTCTGTCTCAGTGAAGTTGACCCAATGCTCCAAAACATGATATTAGTGAATTTATTTGAGGGCTAATTAAAATTTTATTTCAAATATATTTTTGGTCTCTTTAAATGTTTATGGAAATATAACAAAACCGATTCGGCTATTTTTAAAGCGTTTATATTGCGAAATTCTCTTCATTGCTAAATGATTTATGTTGAATGGTCTGTTTATTTGCTTCAATAAAATACAGGTAGGCTTTGTAAGACAAATGATAACATTTTAAATTGTTAAGAAGCTGATTTTTAATGTTGAAATCAACTTTCAATGCATTGGTGCGGTTGTTAGCCATTACCTGGTAAAGCTGTTTTGAACGAAATAAGAAAGGTGATCATTCATTTGCATTTAAAAAGCTGTAATGCTTCCCAAATCGCTGACAGTGTTAACAATTTAAGGTATACAGTTTGAAATATTATTAAATTGTACATAAACACAGAACTATCACTCGCATGATTCTAATACCAACTTAAGAGCGTTAAAACGGATTACGTGCTGAATATTATGGAGTCAGGCAACCAGAAAAAAGTAAGTAAGTAGTAATAGCAACTTGTGAGAGAGCTGCCCAAAAAGTGGGATATAAAACTTACAAGGTAGGCTTAAATAATTTTTTTATTACTTGTCAATTCAGTATTTCTAGGCAAAAGATAAGCCCTTACTGACAGATATTCAGAAAAGAAACGTAGTTTTGATCGTTGGGGCAACTTCACTGAGACAGCGGTCATATATGATTCAAGCAAACATTACCAACATACTTTGAAAATAAACTACAGGCTTAGCAATCAGACAAATTTTGACGTGCCATGCAGAAATAAGCAAAATACAAAAAGAGGGCAGACATTCCAATCGATCTAAAAAGGCAACCTCATCAAATTCTTCAGTATCTTCGTTTTCGTCTTCGTGAAAAGTGTCGCCTTCGTCATGAGTGGAAACAAAATGACCTAATAATACTGCTTCTAGCTGCGACTGCATCGTTTAGAGAAAGACAAACTGCTAGGAGATTTTCTTGTATCCAAAGCCGTAAGCTTTTTACAGAAAATTAAAATTAGGCCTATACCTTCAGATACTACAATGAGGGCATACTTACTAAAGGAAGGATCGAATAAAGGATCTACATATAAGTTCACACAACCGGCAGTTCAAAGCCGAGCATGTTTTATGCTTTAAATATCGGGAAAAATCATCATATTTTTATTCACTAAAAACGATCGTTCAAGAAAAAAACCAAAACATCAACACGGCCTAGACTAGATTTGACAATTTATAAATTCCTAAGTGTCAACTGTCATTTACCTTCTTAGAGATGGGACACCGTTGGAATCGTACTAGGTTCGTTACAAACCAAATTTTATTACTTCCCAGCGTCCCCAGCTTAAATCAAATTCAAGCGAACAACCAAATAAAAATGGTATTCACCGTTTTAGATTTGTATTTAACAATTCGTTCAAGCGAGTGTGGTTATCAGTTTGATTATAAGATCCGTGACGTCATGAATCAGCTGTTATATGTCATAGTTGTCACTGCAAAATTGTGGTATTTACCCAACTCCAGGAGTATAGTCGAAATAAGAAAAGATGACGATAACGTCATTTTAATCTGTAGTAAAGCGATTTGTAAATATTTTTAATGAAGTTTCAGATATGTTAAACAGAGACAAACAGAATTTTATGGTCTAAACAAACTGTATTGCTAATTTGCATATATATATATATATATACATTGCACATAAAACGATCGCTCTTTTTATTTCAGATTCAAACAATTCTGCTAAGTTTATCAAGGGGCTTAAAGCAAACATTTTGGTCAACTTGCGCCATCTAACCACTCCCGGTGTAACTTGAAACTGTCAAATCTTCGAGAGGAAGGGGAAATTCCATCTGTTCCCGCTCCGGTTCACTACGGGATCTCGAGAAAAAATCTCTTATGCAAGAAGGATGAAAGACGTTTTGGCCCCTAGTAAAGATAACAGGTCACGCAAGACCACTGTTAAAATAAACTCTACTAGGCTCTATAAGACTATCCGAAGCGGAAATATTTCCGAAATCGTTGCACAACACTTAAAAAAATGAAACATGGTAAAATGGGAAACAACTTGACAACACTGTGGCATCCAGAATAAAAATGGCGGTTTTGACAACTATGACGGTTTATTGTTGTCATTTTTACTTAACCTTTAACCTCTATTTTATTTGTGTTTTGGGTGGCTGGCTGAGCAGGGAAAGTTGTGGGCGTAAAGGTGCTGCCGATTATTTGATTTTGTGATGTCTGGAAATTTTTGGCAAAGCTCTCATCAGTAAGTGCACAGTTCTGGCAACTATGAGGCCTTTAGAGATAATAGATAATAATTGTATCAAGTTACTTAACAGTTCCTTTTTAGTAACAAGATTAATACCTGTATCAACTATGCTTTAAATAAAATCTTGTGCTACTACTGTTTTTTTTTTCAGTCAACAATGGTTATTAGATAAACAAGATTTGATTAGAGAAAGGCAACATGATTTATCCATTCTTGCTGAAGATGAATATCAAAAAATATTCATCTTTTTTGCTAGTGGTAAGTGTACAACATTAAGTAAATAGTCCAAAGCATTTGATGAATAGGAAAATAGTCTAATTATTTTTAGTGATACAAACCCTTGGTGAGCAGCTTAAACTCAGACAACAAGTAATAGCCACTGCAACAGTGTATTTTAAAAGATTCTATGCAAGAAATTCTTTGAAAACTATAGATCCTTTATTATTAGCACCTACATGCATCTTCTTAGCTTCAAAAGTTGAAGAATTTGGTGTTATTTCTAATTCTAGACTGATCACAACGTGCCAGAATGTCAGTAAGTATTGCACATTAATATTTTGATATAATATCACCATGAGAAAGGTACCCTATAATGGCCTGAGATCTGAGATGGCACCATGAAAATTCTGTTATCAACTGTAGTTTCCCTTGAAGTTGAATTAAAATATAAAAATTGAGAAAGAGTACATATCTCAATATGTCAGTTAGACAGGATATCAGATATCTAAAATGTGAGCAAATAAAATTGTTTTATAGCAGAACTATGTTCTTGAGAGTATATGGAAAGCCATGTCTCTGAGAGATGCAAAAAGATTTGCTGGCTTGTTTTTTGTTATTAAACATTGAAATTGGAATAACCACTTTTTCATGTCTATACGGTTATGAATTGTTGGTGTGATCCAAAAAAAAAATTCTGGAGCTGAAAATAGGTTTAAAATGAGACCTACAGCCTGATTGTACTAAGCTGGGGTGCATAAAAGCTGATATTCAACCAATAAGAAGGCATCTTTAAAGTAATGGATCTAATAGTCTAATCATAGATGAAAATACGAGCCCCTTCCCACTTCAGTCGGCCCACTTCAAGATTTGTACCAAAATATGTCTTTATAAACTAAAAATGTGACTTTTAATAAAAAAAATGCTAGCCAGTAAAATGTTTTGTATTTCTCTATCAGGAGCCGTTAAAAATATACTCCGTTATAAACCCGCTTATTACATTTTTTTTCTGAAACGCCAGATTTTCACTTTTTCGAATCAAATTTAGGGCATTACAATACTATCACATAATTCCTGTTCTGTGTTTTTTACTTAAGATGAATATTAGTATAAGTCCTCTTTCTATTGTAGTAAAAAATAAGTTTAGCTATGCATATACGCAGGAGTTTCCGTATAGGACGAACCATATACTTGAATGTGAATTTTACCTACTAGAAAACTTAGACTGCTGCTTAATAGTGTATCAACCTTATAGACCTCTGCTACAATTAGTACAGGATTTGGGTAAGCTTAATAAAACTATCTATTTGATGCAAATCACATTGGAAAATCCATGTTAATAGATGTACTATAGAGGGTGTTATTTAAGTACATGGCCAAACTTTAGGAGGTGATTCTTTGAGTAGTTTTAAGATGAAAAGTTTATACATATGTAAAGAAATGCGTCATTTTCAAGATACATGGCGTCAAAGTCTTTCTATAAATCGGTTTTTCATAAATATTTTAAACTTTCAGTCGATTTTGTTCAAATTCAGCAGTGGTATTAAGGGCAGTAAGTAGGCTATTTCAGCTCCAATTAGATCGACATTACTAAGTGTGAGGTCACGAAAAACATCCTAACCAGTATCTTTGACAAAAAATGTTGTGCGTTACTGTATTATTCAATATTTCGATTTTTTTAGAATTAAGCAGCTAAAAATAGGTACATACTACTTTTTGATAATTACACGATAGTCGTCTTTTGAATTATTTTGCTCAGATTATACCTGCTTTCGATGAAATAAATAAACATAAAATGTTTACGTAATGTTATTTATTGTTGCAATGTTTTGTCAGTGGCGCTTTACGTTGGTGACGGTGGAAATTAAACTACACTTATACTTTTATTTCAAAGAATCACCTCCTGAAGTTTGGCCACGTACTTAAAAAACATCCTGTATAACATTCTCGTTTGGAATCTAAAGAAGGAATTTTATGCTTTATCTTCAGGTCATGAGGAACAGCTGTTGACATTAGCATGGAGAATTGTGAATGATTCCTTGAGGACAGATGTTTGTTTACTGTATCCACCTTATCAGATAGCCATAGGATGTTTACAGATAGCTTGTGTAATTTTACAGAAAGACCATAAAAGTTGGTTTGCCGAGTTGAATGTAGATATCGAGAAGATACAAGAAATTGCAAGGTATTTCTGTCAACATTACAGATCATACTCTTATCTTTATGACTGATAGTTGCTTGTTGAGCAAGTCAATCCAAAATTCGAAAAAATCTATATAAACCAAGTGATTGACACAGATGACTATCCGAAACTGCTTTTTCTATAGGAAGACATTTTTTTTTCAGGTACATAATAAATCTGTTTGAATTGTGGAAAACATACGATGAAAAAAAGGAGATTCAAGGTCTCCTAGCTAAAATGCCAAAACCCAAAGCTGCCCCCCAAAGATAGAACAAGACTGATTGTTACATGAAATTATTATATAGGTGAATATGCGGTATTTGGGTTTCCAGTGTCAACTTAGAAAATTATCTTATTTTTGTCAACAGACTATATGATTTGTGATACATGTTTGACAGGGTGGGATAATATTTTGATTTCGATAGCTTTTATAGATAGGTACCAGGGGAAAATGTGTGGCCAGAGGGGTGACATTCAAACTACTAACGTGGTATTAAAGACATTTAGCTAAATAATTTCAATAGTTCTTTATTAAAAATAACAAGTCTTCAGCTCTTCGTCTTGAAATAAGGGAATCGAAGTCCCTCAGGATCATAGTTGTTTTGAAGCTAGACTTTTTTTTTTGATAGCGGGTCGCAGTCCTTGCTTTCATTATTTATAATATTTGTTATTCTAAAGGAACGACAAAAAGTAGAAAGTAAAAAAAACAATTGACGCGGAAAGCTACCAGAGAAGTGATGCCATGGTAGTGATAGAAATGTACATGTCCTTGAAATAAAGCGCCATCTATTGCCAGCATCAACCGCTCAAGAGAGCGCATAGAGCAGCTGTTGGTCAGAACTGTACTGTCAGTCCAGATTTAATAAACCACTTTCAAAAGGGTATCTGACGAAACTGACGCATCCCTGGTATTTGGAGGCCAAATCGCTCTAGCATCAACCTATCATTTCTTGATTTGCTACGCATTGATCAAGATCAAAACTTTTCTGAAACCACTAAAAACGTGTTTTTTTATTTTATTTCCACAAGTTGTCGGTTTGTGCAAGACTTTTTTGGTGGATAAATCCCAAATTCCGTATATTCACCCATATAGGGTGTTCCAAAAATGGGAGATTTCTTATTAAAAAATATAAAAAAAAGGTTCTATAAAGATTGTTCCGGAAATGCAGACTTTTCAAGATACAGGGTGATAACAAAATATTAATATATTAAATAAAATATTTACCCGATTATGGCATTTGGCATTATTATTTGTTGTATTAAGAGGCTAATTTAGCCCTAAATAGATTTAAATTATTAGATCCAGTGGCGTCCCGGAGGGCACCCTAGCGAATATTATTGGCAAAAATGTACGTCACTGACTTTTTTGCAACTATAATATTTGTTGTTTGATTAAGCATCTACAACTTCTTTGCCTTTTGTATTTTTTTCGTATCTCACTTCGTTTTCGAAAAAAAACTATTTTACTGCATGTCAATGAACAAATTTGGTTTGTTAATTTTTGCCTTGGAAAAGATCATTTTTGCATGGAGGTTTGACATTTGCGCTTCAGTTCTTTTAGAAAATAATTATTCACGTAATATTGTCGCCACCAAGAACAATTTTCATTAGATGTGTAGATGGGTGTTGTTGGTGACAATTTAATTGGTCGTTTCTTATACTATTCGTCATTTGTTTGTCTGGGCGGTCCGTAGGATCTTTGCCCATTAGTCACTGTCTAATGTACGTTAGTCGAATCTGTCAGTACTGGTTGCCCAGAAACCAGACAATGTGAAGCAAAAAGAGAAAGGGAAAGAGAAGAAACATGAAGAAGAGCAAAGAAAAACAGTTTTTGTTTAAGACACCTAGGCTTTTTGACTTGGTACACGAATTAATTTTGAGGTGAACTAAACAAATTTTGTTTCGGTTTTGTTAGAGTGTAGTTTTAAGTTTACTAAAAGTTCGCGCTAATTTTTTATTACAGTGCGAGCCGTGGCCTTGAATGTTTACGAACTTGCTCCACTGTGTAGTCCACTGAGTCGCGCAGCAGAGGGCTGCTGTGCGATTCCGCTTGACTATAACGTCGCTGCGCCTGAAGTTTGACATAATCCCTCAAGTAAGGACTGTCAAGGTCTCTCTGTAGTGTATCGTTTGAGATATTGCATATTGCAAATTGTTCGCAAAGTTCTACTTTGCAGAACTTGAAGACTTTGCATATGCGTCTTGGCAAGAAAACACCAAGCCGCACATGCAGTAATGGTGTAATCATTTTATATAGGCGAACTTTGTTTATCAAACTCAATTTGGAGGATCTACATAACAAAGGATATAGTTGCCGAAACGCAATTTGGATTTTTGTTTTCAAGGCTGCTGTATGTTTCTGCCAGGTCATGCCTTTATCAAGGGTGACACCGAGGTACTTGGCAGAATTTGTCCATGGTAAATAAAATAGCCTGCGTTTTCGAGTGATTAATTTTAATCAGCCACCGTTCCGCCCACTCTAGTACTTCTTCCACCGCACTCTGCAACCCATCGTGAACCAGATCACCAGTACGTGACTGGGCAACAAGTGCAGTGTCGTCAGCATCGAGATAGACTTTACAGTTGCTAGGGCAAGGGACATCATGGATAAAAAGCGAATAAATGATTGGTCCTAGGACTGAACTCTGAGGAACACCAGCCCGTACTGGCCGTGTTGTTGACAGAACATTGTTAATTTTGATCCGAAACTTCCTTCCTTCAAGAAAGGGTTTCCGTAATTTTAGAAGCCAAAAAGGAAAACCCTGTTGGATTAGTTTATAAAGGAGGCACGCTTGCCTCACATTGTCAAAGGCTTTTGAGCTCCTTCCCCATTATCAGTGGTACTGCTTCCTCTTTAAGCTCACAAATGGAACAATGTTGTCAAAACCCTTCTTACAGGGCCTTTTTGTGGTCCTTTCTTTCCACCCTTAGGCTTAAACGGTGAATGTTAAGAGTTTATTCAACAAGAATTGGCCGTACTGATAGAAAAAGTTCCTCTAAATGTACGTAGCCAAATAACTTTTATGAACGATGGAGCTCCTCCTAATTTTAGTACACCTGACAGAACTCATCTGAACAACACCTTTGGTGAAAATTGGGTTGGAAGAGGTGGACCAATTCACTGATCACCTCGCTCCCTGACTCAAATCCAATTGATTTTTATTTATGGGGACACCTTAAGACGATGGTTTACGCTACTCACATAAAAGCGATAGAAGAATTAAGAAATAAAATCGTAAATGCGTGCGAAAAAATAAGAAAAAGACCTCGAATTTTAGCTAGAGTTCGTCGTTCAATGATTCATCGACTGAGGAGGTCTTGGAAATGGATGGTGGATATTTCCAAAATTTATGTCATGGTATCTATTGGAAAAGTTGCAATAACACTCTTTCCCAGACATTTTTTTGATTTTTTGTTTTCCAATGCACTTATGATTTTTTTAGCAAAAAATAGTAAACTAATTTTGACCAGTGGCATGCAAGAAAGCGGTTTTTATTTTTTTAGTGAGATTTTGAAAAAATACAAGAGTCAAAGAAGTTGTATTTTTAGATGCTTGATGAAACAACAAATATTAAAGCTACAAAAAAGGCAGTGGCGTACATTTTTCTTGCCAATATTATTCGCTAAGGTGCCCCCGGGACGCCGCTGGACCTAACAACTTTAATCTGTTTAGGACTCAATTAGCTTCTTAATACAACAAGTAATATCGCCAAATTCCGACAGAATCAAGAAAATATTTTTTAAGATATCAATACATTTTTTTTTAAATTTATCACCCGGCATCTTGAAAACTCTTCATATCCGTACCCATGTTTAAAGAAACTTTTTTCATATTTTTTAACAAGGAATCACCCTCTTAAATACCCCCGTCTATTTTTCGAACACCCTGTATATTATATTTGAAGTGCATATTATAGTATCATTTCATTTTATTTCTCGTCATTTTGTAGTTGAAAAACATCTTCAATAGTCAATAAATTATATAATGATTTTTTGTGTTTTACCAGTGTTATCTGACAGTTCCTAGATTATTTATACTTTGTATAGGGAATGTGAATTAATAAATCAAACTTGACGATTTGCACATACATATAATATAATGTAGGTACACAAATTCATCTATCACATAATAGTCTAACCACAAAAATAATTATATATTTGGATCTTTTCACAACAGTAAAAATTATCTACCCTCTATCATATAATAAATTGAGCTACTGACAGACGAATGAGGTGAATAATATGTTGATGTCGTTTGTTACTCTGGATCAGTACTAGCGATGGCTTCAATATCTGAAAGAAAAAATAATCAGTAAGATTCACATTAGAAGTGTTATATCCACAAAAAAATTTTTTTTATATACCGAAGCAGCCGCGCAGGCAGAAGCCTAAATGCCGGGACACCGCGGCTTCTATGACGATCCCAAAGAAATTTTGTTAATTCGATTTTTGAACTGCCTAAGGTTAGTAGAACTGGAAAAAGCTTCCTCTTGTATGTAGATTGTTCCATAATCTCGAAATCCTCGGGACAAAGGAGCGGTCGTATCGTCCAGTTCTGGATGTACGAAGTCGACACGGTTAGAATGGGAGGCCAAAGTCAGGCGGGACTGTCTGGCAGGCACATCGCGTGGCGGCATCATGGAAGAGAGATCTGAGAAGCAAAGCCCGTTGGTGTAGCGTTAGAAGAGAGCTAGATCGCCGACGCGAAAGGTTCCCGAGACTGACTGTTAGAGAAGTCGCACCGCACTCCTCTGGACAGCGTTGAGCATGTATAATGTAGTCGAGGCGGCAGCACCCCAAACATGTGAGCAATACTCGAGGCTAGGCCTTATCTGGGCCTTGTATAGAGTGAGGTCATGCAGAGAACAGTACTTCTTAGCCCTAAAGAAATAGCCCAGTTTTTTCCTAGCAGCTGCCGCTATTGACGAGATGTGTTCTTGCCAGATCAGGTCCTCGGTGATCGGGACTCCGACCAGCCGAAATGAATGGCAAGGTACTGTGTTTTGGAAGCGTTAACACGTTGACTGCCACCTTTTTTCGGTTGGTTTTACCCAGGAGCCACTTAGCTGTATAATGGTTAATTTGTTATTTTGGTAGTATAACTTCGTAAAATTAGTTATTGAGGTATTTTCGTAAAATGTTTTTTAATTAGAAGATTTTTTGTGGCTCTTGTAAGAGCCGACGGCACCGACTTACAAATCGGTTTCCTGTGTTTCAGCTGGAGCTTATAAGTGTCGGAAGATAATTGTTTAATTTTTATAATAGAAATAAACTAAAAGCAAAAAAAACATCTATTATCGACCGTTAACAAAAATAAAATATTAAAATAATTGTTGTAACTCAAAATAGTAGAGAACATATATGTTAAAAGTATAACAAAAACTTAATATAATAACACACATGTGATAAAATCTAATCAAAAATAAGAAATGAAACAACTTTTTTATACAAACATGAATTTGTGGTGAATGCAAAAACTTATTTGTGAATAATGTCACTGCACTCCAAGCAGAATCCTGGAACATCAGGGCATGTTCTACATTCGTACATCTTTTCTTGCTACAAGACTGGCATCTTTTTCTGGATACTTGTTTATTACCATCTAAATCACGTTTTACTAATTTGTGACTAGTTGTTGTCCGAAGGAGAGCGATAGAGGCAGCAAATAAATTTGGGGGATGTTTTGGATTTCAGGCGAAGCCACAGAATGTCCTTCCGGTCTGATTCCAAAGAAACATTTCTGTAGCAGGAAAGACTGCTGCGGACAAAAGCTACAACTTCCCCATTCCTTCTCAGATTTGAGTGCACCTCGTAATTTGGGAAGCTAAGATGGTTAATCGGTGCAGACTCTGAGATAGTGGTCTCTGCGGGACGATTGGACTGCAGGTAGTGATGAAGAGCATCAGTGTTGCTGTTAATCCCGCAGATGTTGGTAAAACAAATTTTATCTTCGATGTCGTTTCCTCGAGTCCACCCTCTACCCGGACATTGCGAGAGTGGAGTGAGTTTACGTTCGGAATTCTTAGTACTCGAGGGATCCATCATCATTAGTTTCTTTGTTTTGGAAGACAACCGACTGCATAGCTTAGGTGTGGAAACTTGCGGACACCCTGGGAAAAGCTAGCGGGTGGTACCGCCTCGGTCGACTGGTCCACCGTCTTTTTGCGTGTTAATGATATTAAACAGACCCAAAGTGGCCCGTTGGCGGACTTGTACCGCCACCCGGCAATCGGTACTGAGGTATTCCTTAACGCGTGTACAATCCTTGAACGGGAAGAAGTTGTACACTGGATACGACCACTTCCGGAACAAGCATTTGCCGCCTCCCCGCTCAGAGGGGATAGTTTATATATATATATAGTATTAATAATAATAGGCCTTCATTTTACCTGGCGGGTATCAGCTATAAAGCTGCTCTCACCACCAACCAGGTTTACACAAAAAAATGCAATACAATTTTCTTGAAAAACAAGTTAAAAAGCAGATTAAAAAGAAACCGTCACGAACACACACTAACAAAAAATAAGAATAGGTTAACACGAGATATATATTAACAGCCTGATACAACAAACAAAAGACACTTGAAGATTATTAAAAAATTGAAACAATGTTATCAAAAACGAATTGCTTGACTTTCTTTGCGAAACTACATTTGGAAAGTGTCTTCACGCTTGATGGCAATCTATTTTATGAACAGAATATTAATATATTCTTTGTAAAATGTCGCATTACCTACCAATATGAAATCTACACCATCTGGTGGTCGGCCGACTTAAGCAGCGTGACCTTTTCATCCTCATCGCTAACACACATCCTGGTAAGGTCTGATGCCACTGATGCAGTGTCACAGTTACTGGCGCGTTCCAGCTCTAACATAGCACATGGTGGTGAACAATCCATGTGGTGGTCCGTTGCTTCTTCAAGTGCTGGCCGAGGGACCCCGCTCAACGCCATGTCTTCTGCTCTGTCTTTGTCAGGGGACAGTACGGGAGGGTCTATGACCAAACGTGCCGGAGGAATGTCTCCCAACATCGGTTGTTTGGGAATGATGATCGACAGTGGGGTGGTGCTATAAATAACGTTATTTTGTTAATTCAATGCTTGACAGATACTGACTCGCATAACAAAGTTCAGTAAGATAGTAAGCTCAGTCACAATACAAGAACACATAATGTTCACATTTCACAAAATTTAAATACAATTAATTGAAAAAAGGGAGCTTTGTGGTTTCGAACCTCCGACCTGCGGATTCGCAACCTTCCCACTACACTAAGACGCCTCTTGGTTTACTTAATCTTTATACCACTATACTTGTCACTGACATTTGTCAAGAGAACCTTGGCTGCACATTGAATCTGCTACAAACAATTAGAATAATCTCGAATACTACCCAAAAGTTTTTCTTCGTAACAAAAGGTGATAAACACATCAGCGTTGCTTTAAAATGTGTATAATATCGTATGTTTTTCGAATATCGTACCGCATCTCTTCAATCACTCACAAATACGAAATGTTTGAATTTTTTTAAAAGAAAAAAAGTAACCGTTTTTTCTGCGGATAAAAATAACATTTATCTTCCAGAATGGTTTGTTCCCTTTAAATGAACCCTGTATATTGCTCAATGTACATACAGTGATGGCCGGAAAACAGGTGTTTTGGTATAAACAATTAGAAATTCTCAAAAACTACTTGGCCAATCTACTTCAATTTTGTTGTAGGAAGCAGAATTTCAAGTGGCTGCGTGACATTATCGTCGTATTATCCAGTGCCAAAATCCGCATTTTGCTGAGCTTTTTTGGTATTAGTCGAATCTTTTAATGTGCGGTCTCATTTTGTAGGTCTCGTAAATACCTAAAAATCTTATTTGAAGAGTTTTTTCGTTCCTGTGATCGCTTTTGATTTAATCCCAAAAAACACAATTTCTCATTCTTTGTTGTCGAATAAAAAGTTTTCCCACAGAAATCAGTGTATCCATTTCATGCAGCCATGTTTAAAATACTCCCTTGAACAACTTGCATCAATAACTCCAAACTTTATAATTATTTCATGGAAATTTTCTAATGTGATCAGACTACTTATAATGTAGGAGAGACAACCCTATTTAATTTGGTTTAAAAAAAATTTTAATTTAAAAAAAAATCCAAAATCAGATTACTTACCTAGAAATATCAAGATCTGTATCCAAAATTGGAGTGTTCATTCTGATATTTGAAAACCAACGGATAGAGTTAGGTCTAAAAAATTGAGGTTAGTAATGGAATAGAATCAACATTTGTAGCGGTACAAAAATTGTCCAAATAATAATCAATGTCGGTTTTTATTCTGTTTTGAAGTTTATACAAAAACATTGATTAAACTGATAGACAACCATATACCGGCGCCCGAAAACGATCTGTAAGATTCTAGTACCATATATGAGACAGTAGCAGAGTATAAAAATAAATTTACTTTGAAAAATGTTTGGATCTGCTACTGTCTCATAGGTGGCGCTAGTATCTCCAAGATCTCTTTTTGGGCGCTTTATGGTTGGCTATCTTCAGGTAGAATAGAGTTTAGAGTCGAAATATCTTTTGGGCAGTTCTTGCACGTTTATTAGTTTTATATGTATACAAGGAATGTCGCATAGTAAACAGGATTTTTAAAAGATACCCGGTACAAGTAGCGCCATCTATTATAGGAGACTAGCGTTGCTCGGGTACATCTTTCGAACTACTTCTGGCATTGGTATTAAGCTCTGTTAAACTTGGTAAAACATTTACAGATGTCGATGCAAGTGTATGGTGGTGATTGTTTATCTTCTAGCCGAGTTCACAAGTGGTTTACACGGTTCAAAGAGTCGTTAGAAGACGACGAACATGTTGGCCAGCCAAAATTTGTGATTACGCCAGAAACCGTCGAAAAATTGCGTGAATTTATCAAAAATGATCCAAAATCTTAATTGAGATACATAGAAAAAGTAAAAGGTAATCTGTAAAGATTCAATCGATCGCATTTTGGGCGTGAGAAAGGTGTGTTCACGGTTTGTTCCGAACAAAAATTGCTTCGAATTTAACATTCGAGAGACAGGCTAAAAAAGACAAAAACTTTCTGTACAACATTGTGAGTGGTGACGAATCGTGGTGTTTTCAATGCGATCCCGAAACTAAGCGTCAAAGTGCCCAAATGGAAGCACCAGTGCCAGCCAAAAAAAATCCGTTTGGAAAAGTCCAAAGCGAATACAATGTTGAATTGTTTCTAGGATTCGGAGTTATTCACCAAGAATTCGTTCCATCGCGCCAAACGGTTACTGCTGTGTTTTATCTTGGTGTTATGAGGCGTTTTATGTCGCATATTCGTCGTGTTCGGCCAGAATATCGCGAAAAAGGGACCTGGCGCTGGCGTTTCATCGATCGACGCTTGTGTCCGATTTTTTGACAAAAATGGCATTTTAAGCATTAAACATCTCCTGATAAGGCACCGTGTGACTATTTTCTGTTCGGTAAACTACATTGGGCCATAAAGGGACAGTGGTATGCCGACGTGGAGGCCATCCAGAAGGCGTCGACAACCTTTTTGGAGGATATCCCGATCAATGAGCTAAAATCATAATTCGAAAATCTTTTGATCCGTGCAAATCGCTGTATTAACTCTGAAGGAGAATATTTTGAATAAATTCGATTGTGCGAAACAAAAAAATGTTTGTTCATTTTTTTCCTTGTCCTGTTTACTGTGACTTTGTACCTATTACTTCAGGAAATACTAGTAAACCGATACTTACAGAGGAGCGAATCGAACGACAGATAGATCTAGTTTAAAATCGTCCATTGGAAATTCATTACCAGGTTCATACATAAAACCAGAGTTAAAACATTTTGGTTCATGTATATTATCTTTATTAGCAGCTTGAACCTTGCTTATATCAAATTTTAGTTTTTCTGGAAGAAGAAAGTAAAATTCGAAAACGTTTTTATCACTAAATTTCGTACCGTGTTTGACGTGAAAGGTTTATTTCAACGATACTGCATCAGTTTGATAAAAGCTATTGCTACACCAGCCGTTCTTTTATAAAAAATAAAGCCAGGCCCTAGTTTTTGGATCTAGATGAAAGAAATGAGACTTAAATGAGCGGAAATATGGAAGATCTGAAATATTTGACTATAAAAAGTTGAGTCATTTATTTTAACAGCTTGCGGAACTCGTCAAAAGAAGTTGATATACCAAAAATCACCTATATAAAAGTTGCATAATAAGAGAGTTACTTTACATTATTAAAAATTATTTAAAAAAAAACAGTGGTCGAGAATATCAAAAAATTTGTGTTATAAGATTCTTATTTTTCATAATTTTTAATTTTTTACTATTTCTTTCTATTTATGCAACTTTTATATAGGTGATTTTTGGTATATCAACTCCTTTTGACGAGTCCTAGAAGCAGTTAAAATAAATGACTCAACTTTAAAACACCCTGTATAATAGGTTTTTATTTAGCGTTTGTTTCCATAAGTTGGTGAGGTTGTCAGATTTCTTTACTTCATAGCTTTCAGTGTTGATAAATATTTTTAATAATTAAATTTCGTACGAATACAAACTTCATATCCCCCATAAGGTCAAATGCACTAGCGACTCAAAGGTGAATAAATTCCAGAGTAAATATACTTAGTGACATATAAATCCGAACACCCAGTTTAAATGGTTTTATTTTAATAAAAGTTGGTGAATGTATTTATCTTACTGTAAATAACAAGTGAAAAAAATTTCAGCCTTATCAGTTGGACATTCCGGTTTTTATACTGCTTTTTTTTTAATTCACTAACGCTCTAAAAATGAATATTTCAGCCGCAGTAAAGAATCAACGTTGGCGGATTTTGGTTCTTGACATCCTTTACGATCGGTTACGATGCCTAGAGTACGGAGACCTGTACGATTTCGTCAACTTAGTGAGTTTGGTAGGGGCCGTATAGTGGGACTTCGGGAAGCTGGACTTTCTTTTCGGGCAATTGCAGTTAGAGTGCAAAGAAGTGTAGACACTGTGGTTAGGTGTTGTCAGGCATGGCTTCGAGAAGGCCGTACGCAAAAAGCAAGGGGCACTGGACGCCGCCGTAGAACAACAGACCGTGAAGATCGCCGCCTAAGATTATTGGCCTTAAGGGACCGTTTCTCCACTACCAGGTCCATTGCAAATGAATGGTTTGCAGAACACGGAAGACCTATTGGCATGCGAAGTGTTTACCGACGAATGAGAAGTTTTGGCTTGTTTTCATACCGGCCACACTGGGTCCTCCCTTTAACTCGAGAACACCGCCGTAATCGCCTTGAGTGGTGCAGACAACGGTCACTCTGGGATCAGGAATGGAACAGTATTGTCTTTAGTGACGAGTCTCGATTTTGTTTAGGCATGCACGATGGTCGTGCCAGGGTTAGAAGGCGACGTGGTGGAAGAAGGAATCCACAGTTTTTTGTTGAAAAAGACATGTTCATCACACTGTTGGAGTTATGGTTTGGGGTGCTATAGCTTATGGTTCCAGGCCACCTTTAATCTTCATCAGAGGTAACATGAACGCGCAGCGTTATTTCCACGAAGTTCTAGAACCCCATCTTTTACCCTATCTTGACACCCTGGCCGATCCAACTTTCCAACAAGATAATGCCCGACCACATGTTGCAAGAGTCACAATAGACTTCTTTCAACATAATGATGTCACATTGTTACCATGGCCACCAAGATCTCCCGACTTATCCCCAATTGAGCACGTGTGGGATATGATGGGTAGGAGATTGCTCAATTTGCAACGTCCTCCTCAGACTCTAGAAGCACTTCGAGATGAGTTGGTGGTTGCCTGGAATGAGATACCACAGGAGGACATTGACCACCTGATCAGAAGCATGCCTAGGCGCGTTGGAGAATGCGTAGCACATCAGGGTGCATCCACACATTATTAAAGGTCAAAGGGCTTTAAAACAGTGCAATCATTTTGAAATTTTTATCATTTACTTATTATGCTTCATTAAGTACTTATACAAAATTTTATTAAAATAAAACCATTTAAACTGCGTGTTCGGATTTATATGTCACTTAGTATATATTACGGCGCTCGGCTTCAGTTAGTCGCCGCCTTAAAATGTCATACTGGCTTGAAGCTGTCAGGTTTAAACCTTAAAAAATCTCTTTAAAATTATGGAACACGCGAAATCTTCTAATTCAGCAGAATTAGTATTTCCTACGTTTTTCATTTTTGGGGAAAACAAATTAAATGTGCAACAGGAAAATGAAGGCAGCTTCTAAGCCAAACGAAAATTCCTACAACGCCTACTCACCTGCGTCTATCGATCCCAATTGTTGGGCTATGCTAAACACATAGTCAGCTGTCCAAAAATTTGGTATGCGCACAAAAATCTTGCCTGTATCTACTGGCAAATAAAAACCGAGTTTGTGAAGTAACATCACAAACGGTTGGTGCTTTAATATATTTGCTTGCTCTATGGTCCACGGGATTACCGGAATTGGTAGATCCAACACTGAAAATAAAATTGATTATATTTATTTTATACTAGCTTGTACCCGCGAATTCATATACTTGAAGTTGTTGAAATAACTGAAATTTTGAAATCAACACATTAGCTTGAAAAAATATATGGTGAGGTTCAAATTTAGCTGACGTCGTAATGTGTACGAGCGAGAAGCGCCAGAAGCATCCAATATGTATGTTAGAAAGAGTGCGACGATGGCGTCCGTGGACTCGTCACTCAGGTTGCTAGGCAACGAGTTGCTTCGATCTCTTTCTAACACACGTATTGCACGCTTCTCGTGCTTCTCTGTCGTACACATAACGACGAGGAAATAGCATAATCAAAAACTCTTAGGTCTTCATTGTCTGGCCGTCTCAAATCACATATGTGAACATGGAATCACAAGATAAGTTTAAGGATGTACATTTACTCTAACTCTTTCCAAAGTATATTTCGAAATTAATTTTTGGGTTCCGCTGCCTTCTCAAAGATGGCGTCAGGATCTTTCAAATCACTTTCCAGTCACCGGAATACAGTATTATAATATATATCGTTAACCTATGGTAATAACAGTTCTGTCCACATAGAGGCAAGACTCGACGTGTTGTTCAATCTCCCTTCAAATTTTAAGGATGAGGTCAAGTTCAAAGACTTAGAACTTTGGATAATGATATTTTGGCCTTCTAAATCTAATATCTATACTCACATGCATAGTAATACACTGTTGACTCCATAATATATCCTTCGCCTTTGAAGTCCTCAGGACACGTTAATACCAACTTGACAAAACAAGTTTCTAACAACACATTCTGCAACCATGTAACATACTTTTCCTTATTCTCCTTATAAAGATATTCTTTCAAAACTTTAATATCATTATCAACCACGTGTTTTTCGTTTGAAATTTTCTCTTTTTCCGCAGATTCTTCATTTTTGCCGTTATCGCTGGAAATGTCTTGCTCATCTTTGTTAGTTTTCATCAAATCATCATAGTCTGTTTTGGTGATAATATTCTCTTCCGGGAGTTCTTTGGTAATACTGGTTTGCGCCTCACCGAGGTCGTACTTATCTGATATTTCTGCAATGGCGTCAGTCTCATCTCCATTTTGGTTGAAGTACTGCAACAGATCATCTTTCTCTTCTGTGGTCCAGCTGAAGCAAATTAACAAGTTTCGTGTTAGATGGCTCAAAAAAGGCAATGCTACTGCTTTCTTCCGTCCTACCAAACAGAGCGCGAACCGTGCACAGCTGTTATATGCTTTTACTGGCAATCAGGTATTTCGATAGACCTTATAAGTAGATAGGGTTTATATTTTCTTGAAATGCGAATGACCTTGAAGCGGTGTGACCTTAAAAATGAAGATGACCTTGACACCTTAAAAGACCTTGAATGACGGTTGCCTTGCAAGTCTAGTGACCTTGAGTATGTTCGACCTTGAAGTTGTAGATGACCTTGGGAATATGAACGAACTTGGGATTGTAAACGACCTTGCGGTCTGGAGGGGATAACCTTGGAAATATACCTTTAAACATGTTTAGTGTTCAGAGAAAGCTCAGTTCAGTATCTGCAAGCGTCGCGTTAGTACGGGCATATTGGTAATGAATAATAGGAAAAATATATATGTGAAAAAGAGTGTGAGTTTGGTGTGCCAGACCTAAAAAACGTATGACCATGAAGCGTCAATGATCTTGAAATCGTCTAACCTTGAAGCGACGTCACCCTTAAATTGAAAATAGCCTTGACCTTGAAGCAATGTGACCTCAGATGGAAGATACTTTGCGCTGCTACCTAGAGACCATTATCTAATATATTGCCAAGACGGACGACATCTAGCGGTTACAGTGATGACTCGGCTGACGCAAAGTCGTCTGGAGCACTGGAAAGCTGGCAAAAATAATTTATACGATTTTTAGTAGGTTTTTTTTGGGTCGCTGATTTCAAATCGGAGGTTAGTTTGTCTCTATGAGGGCACTCAAGGACATCTTCAAAAGAAGCCGAGCAGTTGATCTCAACCGCACGTTACCTGTTTTTCTTCTCTCTTTCCGAATCGGAGATCAGTTAGTAATTAAAAGGGCATCAGAAGGACATTTCAAGGTCACTTCAAGAACAAAAACAAAACAAGTATAGCACCCTAGCTCAGATGCGTGTCAAATATATGTTCGCGGTCGTTGAGTCTAGGTTAGGGGTCAGTTTGTCTGTAGTCGGAACTTCAAGGCTAATCGGCGAAAATCCCTTTGGGAATCCTACCGGCTGCGCCAATTATGTAGTCGGAACTTCAAACTTCGTTTTTAAAAAGCTTTACCTTGCCAGTGACCTTGAACTTGACCTTCAAGGTTATTTTGAGGTTAAATTGGTTTTTCTAAATGGGATCGAACACTTTTGACCCCGAAAATCGAAAGAGGGGAAAATTCCAAGTTTTGGATTTGTTCTAAACCATGACCTTGTTATTGACCTTGAAGGTCACTCCAAAGTCAACCCTATTTTCTTGAATAGGACCCCATACTTTCGACAACGGAAATCCGAAGACCAGAACCTTGACAGTGAACTTGAAGGTTATTCCAATTCCATTACTTGAATGGAAGTCTGTACTTTTCATCCCAGAAATTAGAAGACGGCAAATTTTTCAATTTAAATATGAGTATGACCATGACCTTTACCTATCCCCTGTCTTCGGATTCGAAGATTTTCAAGCTCTGACTCCCAATTTGGATTCCACTACTCGAAAGTATCGATTTTCACGTGAAAATGGCCGAATGGATGGTCCAAAATATGAAGCAATTCTTCTACACCAAATAATTTCGGTTGTCCAATAAGGGTTCTGTTTAAGAAAATCAATTTAACCTTGACATGACCTTCAAGGTCACAGTCAAATAGAACACTGCTGGATAGCCAATTACTTACTCTGAGTTACTATTATTTGAATCTAACAAGTTGTGCACATCTTCCAAGTCATCCAATTCGTTGTGCAAAGTTTCTGAGGTGTTTCCATTTTCTGGGCAATGTGTATTTGAAGTGTTCATGAATTTATGGATGACATATTCGATGAGGTCAGACCAATCCTAAAAATAGAAATATATAGAAAACTAACTTCTGAGAGATAGTGGTGCTAAGCATTGTAATCAGTTACAATTATTGTAAAGTAACTTTCCATGAATGTTCTGGTATTACTAGAATATTTGGTGATAGGAGCAGTAATATTTAGTACTTACATCACATATTTCGTAGTCGGTTTCCCAAATTTGTGAAAAGGTCTTCAAAATACTCGGCTGAAAAAGTGTATGGACATTTTGTAAATCTCCTCCAATATGGTGCATCATGGTGAAAATGCAGTTATTTACGAATTCCCCGTTCTCTTTAAAATTTTCAAGCAACAAACCATACTGTCTCATTATTTCTACTGTTGCAAACCTGTAAAGGTGAGAATTAGACAAAAATTAGGAACAACACAGACTATGAACATACACAAAAATGTATCAAAGCAAACCAAAATGTATCATGAGGTGTGACAAGCAAAACTATGACGAATTGGCCAATCAAATCTACTATATTATTTTTTCATTTGATTAGCAGAATATGAATATCCTTACAGTTTCAGATGCTTCACCATGTGGAAGTTGGTCAGCTCTGAAGACTTGCATGCATTATCCAAGAAAATCAAAAAATAATGGTTGGTCAAGATGAGGTCCTGCAAGTACTGTCTGCTTTGTATACGAGGATTGTACTGCCTCAGCAAAAGTACGAATAGCATTTTGAGGTCTTCCATCTTTTTTATTTGACCTTGAAGTTTCATCACGTTTTCTCTGTCCGCGTCGCTTAGATGGATCATCTTTTTGTACGTGTCTACACTTTGGAGAAACTCCCTAATAGCCGTTACAACCTACAAAGGACAGATGACGTAATATATTTTCGGAACAGACTTGCGATTTCAGTTTGAAACGCATATTTTTCAGAAATCGTATGTTTAATTCATATTTTCGAAATATTCCTAATCGAGACGACAACTCTAGTAGATGGGTTTATATGTTCTGAAACGACCTTCGGCGTCAACCTTGCCTGCATGCGACCTCAAAATATCACTGACCTTGAAGTCGAGTAACCTTCAATTTTTTAGTTGGTCATGACATTGGGCTGGTGTGATCTTGAATCTGTAAATGGCCCCGACCGTGAAACGGTACAACCTTGTAATTATAATGACGTTGACTACACATGACCTTGAAATTGTAGATGACCTTGAATTTGTCTAGCCTCGAAACTAAATGACCTTGAAATATCACTTTCAGTCAAGGTCACCCAAATTATAAGGTGACGCGATTTCAAGGTCAATGCTATTTACATTTTCAAGGTCATATTACTTTAAGATCAAGAACTTCAATGTCATTGACATTTCGAGGTCACTTGTAGTCCAGGTCGGCTCCCAAGGCCGTCTCAGAACATATAAACCCTATCTACTAATCCTATGACTTTCGTTCGTTGCCCCATACTGATGACTCTCAGTGAAAACAAAACAGGTCCGTATACAGTTATTGTTGGAAGGACCAGAGCAGTTAGTGTTTGGAAGACTTATAGTGTATCTAACGAAGCCACAAAGTAATCGTAAACAGTGGTTGATTCGTGATCAACGCGTGATCGGTAGCCATGGTGCTCTGTCGGCCTCTTCCTGATTGGCTTGTAGCGACGAGCCTCCAGAGAAAGTCGCACTGTTGCCACGCTCGGCGAGTTTTCGCCAGAGTGGTTGATCACATTCGCATGGATCACAAATCAATCTGTTGGTGCAATACGTGCAATAACTGTTGTAAAGGACATTATATAACAATAAATGGTATCACAAAGGTATATTCCAATTTGATCTGCAGCAAATTATCAACGGCATATACGGAGATGCGAAAACAAGCTCAAAAAGGTGAAGAAAATTTTTGTGCAATCTTTATAGTTAAATTTTTCCTAAGAGATAGCATCAGTGAGGGAATTTTTTTCTATTGTCTTATTTTTCACATTAATGCGATGTCGAGGTATGTGGCCCTATCGCAGTTGAAAATAAGGTTTCAATAATCCTTCCATAAAGTTTCGATGAGTACATCTGAAATAACCTTGAGATATTCTTCAGGGAAATACAAAAATCTCCCTTTGTGTTTTTTTGTGCAGATTTATCTATTAAAATCCTATCCGCAATCTATTTTCCGTGCACACACCTTCAACCGAATGTATGCCATATATGATATTACCGTTTCCAACTTTCACCAAGGTTAATACGAACCATAACAGCTCCCTACCCTTCCCCCCTATAAGAATATCGATTTGTAGCCTCACATTTCAAGGTTAGACTTCTTGTAATGTTTCTGTTCAACATTCGGCGATTTCTGACAATTTTCCCAATAAAACATGATCATTGTGACATTAAGCCTGGCAACGCTGCATAGTAGAGGGAACTTTCAGCGTCACGTTGATGGTTCGTCACCACGCACAGGATTGTAATCAGTTACGGATACCCGTTTATGAGCGCGAACGTTTTATGCACGTCTTGACTTGATTTTTGTTGCGGAAATTTAATATTAGTCTAAAACGTCTGACACAGATACAGCTGATGAAGTGGTTGAAATCAGCTTAATGCCACCCAGCAAAAGGGCTAAAAAGCTTCATCTTAGCGCAGGTGAAAAACAAATTATTCTAAATATCTACAAGAACCAGATGCAAGAGAATAGTGGATTGGCTATAGAAAATATCGTATGTAAGGTTGCTGAAATTTCTGGAGTAGGTCGATCAAGTGTTTACAAAACCTTGAAGGAATATAGACAAAGTCACTCACTATCTGAGCCAAAAACATATCCAGCGAGAAAAAAATCATCGAAAAAATAGATGACTTTGACAAAAGTGCCATTAGAAGAAAAGTACATCACTTTTTCTTCAGGAATGAAATACCTACAATAGATAAAATATTGAAGCAAGTGAATGATGATGAGGACCTGCCAAATTTTAAAAGATCTACGTTCCATAAGCTGTTGAAAGAACTAGACTTTCGATTTTTGAAAAGAGGAAGGAATAGTTTATTGATAGAAAAGGAGGAAATTGTTATCTGGAGGAGAGAATACCTTAGAAAAATTAGGCAATTCCGCGCTGAAGGAAGAAAAATTTATTATTTAGACGAAACATGGGTGAACGCGGGGCATACGCAGGGAAAGGTTTGGGTAGACAGATCTGTGAGGTCCTCAAGGCAGGCTTTTTCAGATGGCCTTTCGACGGGATTGAAAAATCCTGCAGGTAAGTTTCGAAGTATATGAACTTTTTTGGATGCAGATAATTCATTTTCTGATCGAATCAATGATTTGGAAGCTGCGAACTCAGTTTTGCTATCTCATTCAAGTTTCTGAGTATTTCCTTCACCCAAAAACTAATCTAAGACCCTATCCTACACTAACCTAAAAAGAGTAAGTTGCTTAATTTCGTCATTTAGTGCGCTCGCTGAAAAGTAAAATAACTAATTACTTTCAGGCAAGGGAAAACGCCTGATCATTTGCCACATAGGTAGCGTAGATGGATTCGTTCCTGAAGCATTGTGGGCATTTGAATCCAAAAAAACTGGAGACTATCACGAAGAAATGGATGGTAACTCATTTGAAAATTGGTTCAAAAAAATTTTGCCGACACTTGATGATAACGCAATTATTGTGATGGATAATGCCCCGTACCACTCCAGAAAATTGGAAAAAATTCCAACAATGGCCACCAAAAAGGCAGACATTCAACAGTGGCTTGTCTCAAAGAAGATCGACTTCGACCAAACAATGGTCAAAGCTGAGCTGATAAATATAGTCAAGCGACATAAGTATAAATATGATTTAAAAATTGTTGACGAAATGGCCAAAAACCAAAATAAAACGATTCTCAGGCTGCCTCCCTATCACTGCGAACTGAATCCTATCGAGTTGATTTGGGCCGACATCAAGCAATACGTGGCGTCAAATAACAGCACTTTTAAGTTTTCTGACCTTAAAACACTGTTTGATGTTGCTGTCGATAGAATTACGCCAGCAAAATGGAGAACATGTATTGACCATGTCCAAGAGAAGGTTGAAACCAAAATGTGGGATATGGACAATATCATTGACACCCAAGTTGAACCCCTTATAATTGACATCAACAATTCTGATGATTCAAGCTCCTCGGAATACAGCATATAAATCGATTGATACCATTAAGACTGGCAGTTTAACGGGCTTTTTGGCAAGACAGGTAAGTTCATTATAGACTGCAATCAAAGTGTAAGTTTCTAGTTATTAATGTGGAAATTCCAAATTTATAATTACACAAAATTAGGGTTAATTTAGGAGTTCCAAAGCATAATAGTGCCATTTTGACCTTCTTCCTATTTCTCATGTAAATTTTAATATCAATCAAACTAACAAACTTTATGGAGTCTGTAATAAACTTTTGTACTACTACTACGTCTGTAGTTTCTATTTGCTCAAAAAAATTTGCTCTGCATTGTGAATAGAAGGTTGATTTGTAAATATTATTGGGTATATATGTAAGTTAATAATAAAATATGAACAATTTCAATTGAGATGGTCCACAAGTTTTTTTCGTGTGCGTTTTAGTAACATTTTGCTGAAATGGTGAATACAGAATTTTTTGCACTGATTCCTAATGTCGAAATATGATTAGAAAGGCGTGGTATATTCCTGATAATTTACTATGCTTTTGATAGAATTTACAGCAACACATATCTTGTACGACATTTTTTGATAGATCAGTCACAATAGCTTGATACGGCCCTGTAGCGTCTCCTACGGTTAACTTCTTGATCACGTGCAATACGGGTGTATATGTTTGATTTTACTTTGTTTCTTCGATGGATACAGTTTAAGCTTTTAACAGTTTATGGAAAGTTTGAGTCGGTTAACCAAGCTGCAAGCGCCCTCCAAAATCGTGGGGCAAGCGGCACTCCCACAATTAATTATGGAGCAAGCGGCCCCAAAATCGTGAGGCAAGCGGCATCTCCCAAAATCGTGGGGCAAGCGGCAAGCGCCCCCAAAATCGTGGGACAAGCGGCGCACACAAAATCGTGGGGCAATGCTATTTTTTAAGAATTTGTATCCACTTACCAAATGCAGTCTCCTGAGGCAAGGTTTCAAGTCCATATCGGGTATGTTGCAACAGATCTCTAGTTCTTCGTACACCCAAACGCCTTGAAAAATCAGATACGAGAGTACCTCGTAACTCAGTACCGGGTTGATGTGCTCCGGATCGACTTCAAGTTGAGTGGCGAACTTCAGAAAATAAGTGACCAACCAGAAAAAGTGCGAGGTGTCCATTTGAATATGGATGTTGGTTAGGAAGTCCTTGTAAAGGCTGTCCACCAGGTTGCCGTACCCTTTCAGCAAGAAGTCTACCGTGAACTCCTTCAGGATGTTGGAGATGTCTTCGTCGGTTGGAAGGTGATGGAGGAGGCCTTTCATGTTGATGCTAGAAATCAATTTACACACATTATGCTGCCGTATCCCCTTGCGTATCCGTGATCTAGGCAAAGTGCTAAGAAATTGTATTCTAATAATTGTGAATGTAGAGTATACTCACATATGCGATTTGCTCCTTTTCACCAGCTTTTTTCTACGCAACTCTTTCTTCTCCAATGCAGTAGTAGCTCTACCTTTTCCAGTATTATACCTGGTCTTTTGAAACGTGTGCGGTTTTTGGTGGACGGGCTTTTGATGAGGTTGGTCGTCCTCGTTACTGGAGGTCGAGATAGACTCCTAACAAAAAAATGTTATTAGAAAATTGAATATCTGTTTTTGTATAGGACACTGCTTTATCAAATGGGCTCATTCCAAAACTTCTACTTTGTTACCCAGCAGCAGTTTATAGCCAAATTTTAAAAAATTATCGTGATTTATAATATTTTAGAAAGTTTTAAAGTTGTATCAGACGTTTTATGGTGAGTCAATCTAATTTATTATTATATTGTGTGTCTGTATGCGTATAGTTTGTTGTATTATACATTTTTTAAAACTATCCTCAAATTTTCGTAGCCAAATAGCCACAAATCTCTTTCCTGGATAAAATTAGTGCGTAGATTCTGAATCTGTCATCAATTTGATTCTAGATTCCACTGAAAGCCCTGGGTAGTTCTGAAAAATAGCTTTTGCTGATGTAACCTGTCAGATAAAATAAAGGCAATTTATTATTATTAAATGATCTACACTAATGAAAAAACAAGTTTGTAATTTTTTATTGATTCTTTGAAGTGTTGTATCTCAGTAAAAAGTGATCGCATTGATGTTATAAGCGAAGGATTTTAAAGCTTCAAACGTTTAGTTTTTGGATCTTTCAATCCACGGACTTTAAAAATTTTTTTCGCATCGAAAACGAAACAGACGCATTTACTGGCAGCTCAGTCTTTTTTTTTTTGAAAAACGCTCAGACCCGTCGATTTTGTTTCCGAGGGGGACTCAAGTTTGGCAAAAAATCACGTTAGCACGTGGTGTCACCCCTAAGCAGCGGTGACACCACCCCCAACATCTTAAAAGGAAAGGGGGGGTCGAGTGATACCTTATTTTACAGGTCTTTCAATTCCCTTTATAATGATATAAAGTTAATGTACTTCAGTTCAGTAGTTTTGAAGATTTTTTTCCACAAAAAAAACTGAGCTGTAAATGCGTCTGTTTCGTTCTCGAAGCGCCACCCTGTATAAGCCGACGGTCGGGAGAGGGCAGCATAGTTGAGTGAATGGTGTACATAAATGTTCTATCTAATTAGGTTGAAGTTAGTTGTGTTGTGTTTTAAATAAATTACTGCATTTCTTCTTGTGGAATCGAGTGTTTTTTTTAATCCACACCTAAATGAACCCAGAAAAACATTACAATATTATGAAATGTATCCACCATGTAGTTTTCCATTACCTGGTTCTCAACTTGGGTGGCATATCCACAATCAGATATCTCGCTTTGCGAGGACAAACATTTGGGCTTTTTAGATGGCGATGCAACAGAAGCTACCGGATACGGACCAACAGATGGTGCTGAAGACGACACCGAAGATGGACAAATTGGAGGTGGAGATGAGACTTGTCCTGACTGTGGAGGTTGCTGGTCTTCTATCTTTTGCTCGTCGATTTCCTCCAGTGAGGCTGAGATGCCATTGGACTGAAATAGGAAGACAGTCAACGTTTTATACCAAAAGTGATTAGAGGCTGTAAGAGATCTCCAAAAACATAATGTGCGATAAAACTAAATAATCACTTCAGAATAAATATATAAAAAAAGAACAAGGTATTCACCCAAATATAAGCACACAATGTTGAGGTGATATATATTTACGTTAAATGGATCCCTGCTTCTTGCAATGCCGTTCGGAAGAGTTTAATAAAACTTAAATTCGATAAGTAAAATATCTTCTATATGTTTCATAATAAAGTCTTACTCAATAATAATTTGTTTGTCCAATAAATAAAGGAATAATAACTGTATATCTGTTAAGGTGGCATACCATGGATCACCTACCTTATTACATCTTAAATTAACTTACTTCAGTACTTTGTCCCATAGAAGAAATACCACTGCTGCTGCTATAGTTTTCAGTTTCTGTACTCTTATTTCGTTTGGTCATTGTTAAATTTCTACATCTACCTTTTCCTCCTCTTACAATATCTGTCGAATTAGGTTTTGTTTTCTCAGGCGCGTTGGCAGTTTCCTGAAAGATTTTGTATCTCAACGCCAGTAATAAATACTAAGTGTCATATGAAATGCAACACCCATTGAATTTTGATGAAAACTTTTAAACGTATTTGCTGCTCTTATAAAATGTTGAAGCCATTCCGATCCGTACTTTTTTGTAAAGGCTTTATTTGTCATATCAGGATCCGAACAATGTGACCATGTTTACTTAATATTGAGTGATTGTTCTGTGTTGTTTGTATTTGTTTCATTGTTGTTTCATTGCATTATCATGCCTAGAGTTCGCAGACGCGCTAATTTCACTCAACTTTCCACTCAACTTTCCGAGTTTGAGAGGGATCGGTTACGTGAAGCTGGATTTTCTTTTAGAGAAATCGCTAATCGGGTAAATCGAAACGAAGCTGTAATGAGATGTTGTCAAGCGTGGTTCCAAAAAGTCTGAAATCGACGAGCTAGGTATGGAGTAGGGAAATACTTAAATGGAATATGGAATTGAACTTAGTCGTGTTCAGCGATGGCAGTGCAAGTATAAGACGTGGTGAAATACAATGCACCAAGAAGACATCAATCATCTAATCCAATCGATGCCGTGACGACATAACGAATGTGTAGCGAACAGAGGAGCTTCATCACATTATTAACATTAAGGTCGATCCAAAACTTGTGAACGTATACTCAAAATTACAGCACTCCTAGTCGGTGTTGCATTTTCTATGTCATTTAGTATATTAACCCGTACTTTTGGCAATATGATGTTATCCGTATACATGTAGTAATTTCTAAACATTTTCAGTCAGTGTGGCAAAACCGCATGATCGCTTCCTTGATAGACGCCCAGCCATATATGAGCGAGCTGCCAACTGGAGGGCAGATCGCTGTTGTTTAGTTGTAAATCAGTAATGCAGTTCAAACTCAAGGTCAGCGAAGCCGATTTAAAGGCATTCCACGCAGTATAACTACTCTTTGGTTAGACACTTTACCTCACAAGGATCATTATTGTTATGGCCGCTATGCTGGTCACGCTGAGCGCGATCATTGCCGCCGTTATCGCTAGAATCAGAAGTGGGATCAGAGGTAATGATAGGGAACGAGTCGTCCCCGCTTCCTTGGTCCGGCGGTGACGTGTTGCTTTCATTGTCTTCGCTGCTGTCACTGTACGATGCTTCCAGCCACAAGTTCAGCAGTTTTTGCAATGTACCCACGTGTTGATCCTTGTACATCAACGCGATTAGTTGGACGATAGACACGCCCCAGTATATCTAGAAACAGGAATATACCATCAAAACTGGGAATAAAAATTACGCCTAATGAAAAACATTTGGAAGCACGTAGAAGATATATTGTGCCTCTAAGTGCTGTAAACATCGAAACATTATTATACAGGGTGCTAATAAAGTACGTTACTACGAATAATTTGCGGACCTATGTTAATATATGAACTTTTTGTCTTAAGATTACTGTAAGAATCGTCTGTTAAATTTTTGGTATATGCTTAATTAACATCCTCTATTCATTTCACGTCAGGATATGATTTAAAAAAGTCTCTTCCTCCCGCCGAAATCGATTCAGATGTCTCCTACTGATTTGCAGTCGGATGTTTTTTTGATCTTTGTTCAACAACTTCGGCACCCATCGAGCACGGATTTTGTTGAAGGCAAGATACTTTTTGATGATTGTTTCAGCACTTCCAAAGCTGCCCACTTCGAAAACGACTTCATGAATAGTGAGCCGCCTGTCACTTTTAATAAGATCATGAACAGCACCAATATTGTCACCAGAGACACTTTATCTTGGACGGCGATTATGACTAACATTTTCGACACGTTCTCGTCCACTCTTAAACTTTTTGGCACAATGGAATATCTGAGTTTTAGACAGGGTATCATTCCCTTATTGAACCAAAATCTCGCACAATTTAACGCCTCCCTCCGTCAAAAGCTTTCTCGTTGCGCAACGGACGGTGGAACCGGTTGCTCACTCATGGCTGTACTGACGCATTGACTGTGTGGAACAGCTCATTACGCGTTATCCTCACTGCAAGGATCTGCACTTTGAGAACTCTCGTGACTGGCTGAGAAAAGTATTTGTAAAATTCCGGTTTATATATGATCCACCTCGTAATCATGCACAGAAACGATTCTCATTTTTTTAAGCGAAAGCCATGAATCGGATTGGAAAAATCAAACAAACTAAATTGCTTAGAAACCCATGGGGATTCCAAGAATAATTTTTATTTCAAGAGAAATCAGTGGCGTAGCATTAATGGCTGCCAAAGTAAGAAGATCCGTACGCACGACACTGGTGGAAATAGAAAGTAGTACATTAAAAAATACCTCTTGATTCATAGTACATGTACGAGTATGCCGAGGAATGATGAATTTTGGAAAACTTTACCTTCCTGTATCTCAAAAGATAAGAGGTGTAGGACATAATGAAGTTAAATGGACCTAAAAATCGCTCCCTTAAGGCAGCACCTCCCTCTTTTAGCTTTTCTTTCAACTACCTGTTTGCAACAGTATTCTAATTTCTTTTCATCTGATTACTTCATGATGTGTATATAGATGACTAAGAAATATCGTTTTTTATTTTGTTTTGTTATAAAATGCATTTTTTGTGCATTTTATTGTGGATTTTTTCTTCGATCGTAACTTGTTAGCTGCTCTGAAATTGTATGTGAATATTTTATGGGTGAATGAAACAAGTCATTACATTTATTCCTATCACTTTTTCTCTTCGAAAAATCTCTTCTTTTCTTAAAAACTCATCTTGCTGGGAGACGAAGCTTCGAGAAAATCAAAGGTTTTTCGAAAAGGAAAAGTAATAAGAACAAAAGTAATCACTTGTTTCATTCTTTCGTAAAAGACGAATATTCATACACTATTTCAGAGCTGTAGTTATATTTGTGAACAAGTTCCGATTGAAGGAAAAAGTACAATAAAATGCATTCTTTGACAAAAAATAAAAACATTGTTTTTTAGTCATCTCTATACACACCATGGAATTATCAGATGAAAAGGATTTAGAATACTGTTGCAAACAGCTGGTTGAAAGAAAATCTAAAAAAAAGGGGCGTGCTACCTTAAATATTGACATTCAATCAGGAAACGCCATCTGTAATCACAGTAGTGGCATGCTCAATTAGTACAGGGTGTCCGGTGGCAGAATTCGGATTGCCAAATCCAATGTTTTCGTAACCGTTAGGCAGCGGAGCGGGGAAGGGGCCGCGCTTGCTTTGTTATTCGTGCGGCTGTTTATTCACGATGTTACATTAAGCATACAGCATTTAAGTTTCCATAACCAATCTGCAGCATCATTGCAAATGCCTTGATTCAGTGCCGAAAATAGCAACATCGAAAAAATCTCAGCGCATATTTTACTATACTTATTTTCATGGAACATTTTTTCTGGATAAATGAAATAAAATCTCACGGATGTGCAGGAATTGAAACTCACCTTTTGTGGACACGCCATCAAATAAATGATAAGCTTATCAACCCCTTGGGCAAACAGATTCCATATAATTATATTTTGCATACTGGAATGAGTCATACAGCCTATAGGAGCAGGACTTTTATTTTCCGGTATATGCAAAATATTTCTCAGGAGCAGTAGACAATTATTAATACTTTCACATTGCTCAATGTTTAGCTGAGAATCTGCTTCTACTACGAACTTTATGTGGTCCAGAATCTGAAAAAAATCGTCAAATGCTGTAAAATTGCTAAGATTTGAGCTAAGTTTAAAGTTGAGAGTGGAAATGAGAAAAGTTACAAGTTACATATGATAAATAACTTCTTTTGGGTACACACATCTTCCTTATTCAGCTCAGATTTATTCTCGGAGTCGGTCATCGAAGTTTCGTATTGCAGCAATGCCATTCTAGATTGTTGTCTCAATCCTTTGAATGGTACATAATAAATAAAACTTTCCTCACAATTGCTTTGACATTGTTCAATTCAAAATTAGAGGTAATGCGTTAGAAAAAAGAAACTCTCAGTTCATATTCACTTTTCAAATTTTGTATGCATGTATGAATAATTTGGAATGAAGATATTTTAGAAGTTTCTTGCATTGTTAGAGATGTAAAAATGTAACAAAAGATTATGAATGTGAGGAGGTTGTATTCAAAATTCGATGTCTCACAATTCTTACTATAAACACGAACCATTTATTTTCTATAAATATGGTAACCGACATTTTGACGGGCTATGGTACATTTATGTTCAAACACGCCACAATGAGATGGGTTTATTAAGAAGAATGACTAATAAACGACGTGGTTAGCACGTGAAATTATGACGTATATTACACGATATGAAAACTACGTCATTTTGACGTCATTTCGCAACCAAGGGACGTCAGATAACGAAAACTAATCAATATTCTACCAGGATGAAACAAGGTGTTTTTTATACGTAACTTGTAAATGTTGAAAATAAATTTCCATTGCCACTCTCAACTTTAACATTTATTTACATCTCTAAATAATTGGATAGCTAAGTACTCACAGCTTTGGTAGTTCTGCTGTCCATAAATACTTCTTTAACAGACGTTAATAGCTTATTTAGCTGATGGACAATATCTTGACCATCTTCATCATCTAAACTTTCTACAGGTAACAAATATTCTACAGGAATGGTGAGATTTATTAATGTTTCGATAGCTGCATCTAAGATCCTAAAAGAAGATATCGAAACACTTGAAGAAAAAAGCGAATAATTGATTAACGTTTTCTACCTGAAGATAGCCATATACTGTGTTTAGGCTCCCAAAAAGAAAAAAGATACTAGTGCTGTTTATGAGGTAATAGTAGAACACAAAAATGAATGTATAAATTCACGTTGAAGATTTTGACTTTTAACGGTTTTACCGACATGTATGCATATCTATACTCATTCCCGTCTCTAGTGAAATGCTTGACCTTCACAACAAAACCTACACCAACACATTTGGTTTTCTTCTTCTGAGGACGTAAAGCTAAGAGCTCTATGTGCTAGATCTGGTTATGTGTGTGTCTAATTAGGCAAACATTATTTTGAGGCACTCCCTCACTAAAGCCTTAAGGCCACTTCTATTTTTAGGCATCTATTTTTGGACTACGTGTTTCCAGGACCGTTAGCCTCTGGCGAACCATTTTTCTTGATTGCTCACCTTGGGGACATCGCTTGCTCTTTTCGGATTTTTACTTAAAGATCAATGAACCTAGGCTACTCCAATGTCATGCACATGTATCTAATCATCAAGCCCATCAATCCACGGCCTATGGTTTCCATCGATCTCAAAGGCGAGGAAAATAAGTTATAATGTTTGTATTATTGCATTATATAATTTCATTTACCGGAAATGGATATTTGAAATGTATAAAATTTGTAGGTTTTCGTCAAAAATGAAATGGGAATGCTTATGCGTAATATAATAAGTGATATATAAATCCGAACACCCAGTTTAAATGGTTTTATTTTAATAAAATTTTGTATAAGTCTTAATGGAAGCATAATAAGTAAATGATAAAAATTTCAAAATGATTGCACTGCTTTAAAGCCCTTTGACCTTTAATAATGTGTGGATGCACCCTGATGTGCTACGCATTCTCCAACGCGCTTAGGCATGCTTCTGATCAGGCGGTCAATGTCCTCCTCTGGTATCTCATTTCAGGCAACCACCAACTCCTCTCGAAGTGCTTCTAGAGTCTGAGGAGGACGTTGCAAATTGTGCAATCTCCTACCCATCATATCCCACACGTGCTCAATTGGGGATAAGTCGGGAAATCTTGGTGGCCATGGTAACAATGTGACATCATTATGTTGAAAGAAGTCTATTGTGACTCTTGCAACGTGTGGTCGGGCATTATCTTGTTGGAAAGTTGGATCTGCCAGGGTGTCAAGATAGGGTAAAAGATGGGGTTCTAGAACTTCGTGGATATAACGCTGCGCGTTCATGTTACCTCTGATGAAGATTAAAGGTGACCTGGAACCATAAGCTATAGCACCCCAAACCATAACTCCAACAGTGTGATGAACATGTCTTTCAACAAAAAACTGTGGATTCCTCCTTTCACCACGTCGCCTTCTAATCCTGGCACGACCATCGTGCATGCCTAAACAAAATCGAGACTCGTCACTAAAGACAATACTGTTCCATTCCTGATCCCAGAGTGACCGTTGTCTGCACCACTTAAGGCGATTACGTCGGTGTTCTCGAGTTAAAGGGAGGACCCAGTGTGGCCGGTTTGAAAACAAGCCAAAACTTCTCATTCGTCGGTAAACACTTCGCATGCCAATAGGTCTTCGGAGTTCTGCAAACCATTCATTTGCAATGGACCTGGTAGTGGAGAAACGGTCCCTTAAGGCGAATAATCTTAGGCGGCAATCTTCACGGTCTGTTATTCTACGGCGGCGTCCAGTGCCCCTTGCTCTTTGCGTACGGTCTTCTCGAAGCCATGCCTGCCAACACCTAACCACAGTGTCTACACTTCTTTGCACTCTAACGGCAACTATCCGAAAAGAAAGTCCAGCTTCCCGAAGTCCCACTATACGGCCCCTATCAAACTCACTAAGTTGACGAAATCGTACAGGTCTCCGTACTCTAGGCATCGTAACCGATCGTAAAGGATGTCAAGAACCAAAATCCGCCAACGTTGATTCTTTACTGCGGCTGAAATATTCATTTTTAGAGCTTAGTGAATTAAAAAAAAAAGCAGTATAAAAACCGGAATGTCCAACTGATAAGGCTGAAAATTGTTTCACTTGTTATTTACAGTAAGATAAATACATTCACCAATTTTTATTAAAATAAAACCATTTAAACTGGGTGTTCGGATTTATATGTCACTTAGTATAATTTCAATGAACAATTTTTGAGCGGTCCACGAGCGGCTCACGAACGGCTCGACTCGCATATGTATACAATGCTTTAAATGTTGTCCTTTCTGAAGAAATGTTATATTAATAGTTATAAATTACGATTTTTTCCTTTTTTTGTGTTTATTAAAGACTTTGAGGAGAATTACGGGAAATCACCACCGCGACCGCCGTTAGCATGTACATTACTTCTAATTCGACAGTGTACAGTGGATATAATTATTTCTTATCTCTCTCATTTTTAAAATTCAGCAAATTTGCATATGTAATTTCCAGAATGGATAAGAAAAAGTGGATGCGCAACTAATTTCTAGCTTTGAATCTCAAGTAAGTGTACTTGAGATAAGAATCCAATGGAATTATCATCAACACATTCGGCACACAAATCTTTACTATGCACCTATGCATTGCCGTTTCCTTCTAGCTACTTACAGCTTAGACCTCCAGTAATGCCATCTCTGAAGCAGATTTTACATCACATCAGAGCCGAACATTAATAACTGAAGCCTCATGACATTTAGGCAACACGTACGAATACAAAACGAGTTCACAACGTGTCCATCAGCTAGTGCTAAGTTAACATCTTGTTGAAAAACCTACATAATATTACAAAAACCAATATAATGACGAAAAAATGGCATAATGTCACACTTTAAGATAGTAATACCCGTGCGGGTGGTAAATTCACAATGTACCATCTTTTCTGGGCGCTAATAGAAGTTCTGCTACTCTCTTATAGATAGCGCTGCTATCTTTTACATCCCTTTTAGAACGCCAGAAAACAGCATATGATTAGCTATCTTATGATAGAATACGACAATCAATGGGCGAACTAGCAATTTTATCGCCTCATTCATTAAAGAAAGAATAGAAAAGTACCTAAAAAGAACAAGGTAAGACCAACGAATGTTCCTTGAATTCTTACCTTGTGGATTTATTGATATCGTTAGTGTCATCCTTGACGTATATAAGTAAAGGCAAAAGCCCTTTTTGTACGTATTGACCTTGCCCGACGGCACGTCGGAAACCGTATAAAGGATAATTCTCTGTAAAGAGACTTTTCAGAATTTCTCCTAAGTTGACTGAAAAAAAATAACCGAAAATAATGTCAAATGATTATTTTTTAAGCTCTACTTTTTGTGTTTTTGTTCAAGTATAATTGGCATGTCCTCAACTTACCTAAACAGTCTCCTTTCAAAGTAACTGTGTCCGTATTTTGGACGAACAACGACTCGAAAGCTTTTTGAACTTGACTGGTTATAACGGATTTCATAATTTGATAGACTTTGGCTCATTGAACCTGTAAAAAAAAAACAATGTTCAAGAATCTGAGTATTTTAAGAATCAGCCATTGCTATCCCAACGAAGTCGTTGATGTGTTTTCATTTTTCAAGTTTGTGCAATATTGTGAAAACATTTTGGAGTTGTATCACGCCGTGATTAACGTATTCTCCTTGAGGATAATAAACCTAATACTATATTTGCGCGCATCCGAGGTAAATTATCGGAGATGAAATGAAATACCGTAGCGTCATATATGAGAATCACAGCGTCACAGCTATCTTCCCCGTCTCAGCAATAATTAGAATCACTTTGAAAGGGTTACAGTCTCATGGATGACACTATGGTGTTTTATTTAATCTTGGATAATTTTTCGGATGCGCGTATATAGTATTAAGTTGGCTATCATCAGGAAGAATACGTCAATTGGTGGCGATACTCATTTCTAAGGAAAATCCTTTGCCCTTAGTTGCAATTTCAACTGTAAAATGATATCATATACAGACGATCCTGTTTTAGTTTGCACTGGTCATTCATGGGATGACGCAATTCGGAATGCCGAGTTGTCATTAAATAAAGTCAAATGCTGGTTGGATAACAATTTACTTAAACTTAATATCTCTAAAACTAATTATGTAACGTTTTCTTCAACCAAAGCAGGCATGTCATTACAACACCGAACATTAATTATAAATGATAGTGCTGACACTGTCGAAAGAGTTGATGTTATTAGATACTTAGGAATCACTGTTGACAGTAATTTAAAATGGCAGAGTCATGCCGAGCTTTTGGCATCGAAATTAAGGAGAATTATTCATAAGTTTTTCATTCTTAAGAATATTTTAAGCAGAAAGAGTCTTCTCGCAATATATAACTCGTTTGTGGGGTCTCTACTAACTTACGGGATAAGTATATAGGGAGCCGCATACACTAGTACTTTAAAAATACTATAAACCACGCAAAATTATATTGTCATAACTATTTTTGGTATCCCATGTAGGTCAAGTTGCAGATTTTTTTACATTGAAAATGATCTTTTGAATGTTAGAGGTTTATATATTTTTGCTGCTCTGAAATTTGTTCACTCCATAAACAATGTTCCAATCAGCCACGCTTATGAAACAAGAACTAAAATAAATATAAGTTACACTTATACCAGAGTGAATAAATCTGTTTGTCAAAAATTCATTAAGTTTGATGGTTGTATAATAAATTACCCCTAGAATATAAAATCCTCTCGAAGTATAGTTTCAAAAAAAGAATTAAGAAGTTCATCTTAAATAACTTTGACATGATTGCATCGGCTGTAGCTTAACTGAACTCAGTCATTTCGTTTTTATCAAATGTTTTCTATTTCTTTTTTTATATACATTTGCTCATAATATACTTTATGACCATTAGCCATGCATTGAATTTGTATATTGTATGACACACACAAGCTTAGGTGTCTATTCTTTTGTAGTAAATTGTAGTACTCTTGTTTCTCTGCTTAACCTTTAGTCAAAAAATTTTTTATTGTTTAAACAACATAGTTTGACCTTACTCGAAATATCCCTATATTATCATATTTCAGATATTCATATTTATAAGAATACCTTATGTTAGATTTCAACCGGTTTTGGTTTAAAAAAAGACGACTGTCTTATAAAAGTATCTGTTTAATTATAAATCATTATACGCACAAGAAAAATTAATTAACAAATCTGTTGGCCATACTGGCATCCAAAAACGGGTTCCTCCCCCGCAAAACCAACCCTTGACAAGGAGACTTGTGCACATCGTCAACAGGTTCATCATCAGCAGCCCTTATTTGAGCCAAAAACATTCGCCTAGGCCTATTGGACAGATTCAAATACGATCCGTGGAGGGTCAGGTACGAAAATACGATGACTTCTCCTTTTTTCGCTTCAACAGGGGTAGCGTCATCCAACGGGTATTTTTCAGGATCCACATAGTGATACTTCTCACCCTTAACATCAATGGTTGTCTTGTTTGGTAGCGGGCCCAGTTTGTGACTTCCCGGATAGATACACAGCCCTCCATTCTCAGGGGTTGTGTCGTCAAGGTGAACAAACACAGCCAACATGGTGTGCTTCTTGTGCGGGAAATAGGGGTAATCTTGGTGCATTAAGTAGGGGGCGCCCTTCTCTGGGGGCTTAATGTGAGCCTTGGTGTGGTGCAGAAGGATATCTTTGGTGTCCATAATGTCTTCTAAAGCATCGAGCAAGTTGTTGTTCATGAGCAGGCGGGTGAAGACGGCACTGTGCATTTGAAGGTTGTGGATCGATTTGACCTTAAAAAAAAAAGAAAAAGGTCACGTTCAACGCATTAAGAGAGAGATTGGGCGTCCATAATTTGAGCATCGCATTTTATCAATGAATATTAGGCGATCCAACAGTAGTCATACTAAGTATTCAAAAAGCAAATCACAAGAGCTTCCTATGAATCATCCATGTCCGTGGCAGGTAATGGTTACAGAGATGAAAAGCTAACATGTCCATTTGAAACTTAAATTCTCCCGATTTGAATATTTTGACTCAAAAAATATGACTAAATTCGCGAAACTGAAATAACACCAATCAAATAAAAATACTCAGATAGCAGATTCATAAGCCTCATGTTTTGCAATATTTTTTAATACCAAACTTATCTTTCTCCTCAACGAATTTTTGTCTCTTGTTAAGGATAGTAAAGAATTAAGAAAATAACTTCCAAGTGAATGATTTTGCAAACAGATCTATAAAATATAGAGAGAAGAAAGAATATAACTCACAGTTACTTTTCTGTTAGAAGAAAGCTTCTTCATATCGTCTCCATGCCACACTGCCTCAAGACCATCACCAACTTCTTTCTGCTTTTGACTGAACAAATGATTATATTCATCTTCAATTTCTTGAAACTCTTTCGGTCCAAAAACGTTGGTTAACTTCACATAACCGTTGTCTTGCCAACATTTCTTCTGTTCAGGGGTGAGTATCTTCAACTTGCTCATTATTGAATTAAAACTGGAGTGTTGCACTTCACACTATAATACTCTTGAATGTTTCGCTAACTGAAGCGATATCTTAGGCGTTGTTACGTTAAATACTACAGATGTTTACTGATTTCAATGCCAATGTTTGACTTTTCTGCATTTGGAAATATTTATCGTGCCGGAGATGATAAAAGATGTACGGGGTCAGTCAGTGTACACCAAAATTGGGGAGGGACATTTGAATCACTGTCATTACCAAGGACATTGGCGTTCGGGATTTTGTATTCACTTATTATTTTCTCAGGGATCAGCAGAAAAAGTTAGGTTTTTAGACCATTTTTACTATCTAAACATTTTTGTAGTTCATTATCAAGTTAAATTGATACTGTTTTTACAGAAACTGTTCAAAAGTGTCCCAGTTTGTTCGATTAACACAAAATCTTGCTCGGCGAATCCACGACTCTTTACAAGCTTCGAAAATAAATTCCTGGTGTCCACGAATTAAGTCACAGTGCGTTGTTCAAGTTCTTCCAGGGTATTTCCTGCTCCATCATGATACACCAACTCTTTCAAATAGCCCAACAGAAAAAATCGTAAGGCGTTAAAACCGGGGAGCGATCAGGCCAAGAAATGGGTCCATTGCGCCCTATCCATCATTCGGAAACTCATTAGTTAGACATTCATAAGCTTCTCGTCTAAAATGTGGCAGAGCCCCACCATGTAGGAACCATCTGTCTCATATTTAGAGGACCACCTTCTAATAATTGGGGCAGATTGTGTCGAAGAAAATCTAAATAAAGTTCACCGAACAGACGAAGCGGAAAAAAGCACGCGGATTTTCTACTGCCCAAACATAATGGTTGTGTAAGTTGTGCAATCCATTTTGTGTGAATGTGGCCTCGTCTGCCGAACTGTTCTAAAAGCCACTGGTAAAATGCAACTACTCCAGGATGATCTTCAAGTTGTAACGCTTGTACCCGTTGATAATGATAAAGATAATACTGTTCTTGTCGTATTGTACTATGAGTAGCTTCAACTTGAGCTGGATATCCCAGCGTGACCTCCTCGTTCTTCTTTTAAATATCCTGTGTCACGAAGTGTAGTAACTAAATTTACAAACATCCGTGATGACTTCTTAAAAGTAATATTTCCGCATACAACTGTATGATGCGGCTGCATTTTGTTGGCGATCTCCGAATGTTAGTATTATTTCCACTAGTTTATTGATTTCGTAAACATCGGCCATTTTTTGCACAAAATAATCTGTCAAAAGAAAGTATACGCACTATTGAAAGGGTGATACAAAGACTCGTATTGAAAATCATATAATAACACAAAAGGTTTGCCGAATTCAGATAAACGATAAGAGTGGTCATCAAAAAACGCTAAGATTTTACACGGCAGTGAACGAGAATATCAAAAAATCAGAGTAATACTCGTGGAATTCTTATTTCTTAAAACTTTTGTTTTTTACTATTGGGGCTGTTCAAGTATTACGTGAGCACTATGAGGGGGCGGGGGAGTCTAGATGATGATTACGTCATCGGTAGTTATTTACTTTTTTACACGAATGCCAACCCTTACATTGTCTTTGCTTGAAAACGAAACGCATTTTCGTTGATTCCCGCAAATAATGCATACGTTTAGTGAACAGCGCGCGGTAATTCCCCTACTCGCTTTAGAACCGAGTAGGGGAATTACCGCGCGGTGTTCACTTGTTTAAATTTCCTCTATCAGTGTATTGTTTCGTTTGGATACTATAGCGAGTAGACGTATTGTCAGCATAGTATAGCAAGTTAACATTTGTGTTATCATTGATTCCATTAGCCAAAGTTTAATGTTTAAATAAGATGCCGTTTCACATAGACAAATCCAAGTTATACCAAAAATTGTTTGAAAGTTTAAAAAAATCTCATACAAGTACGAAAGTACAAAATGTACAAAAGTTAGTTAACGAAGCGTGGCTAAATTACAAATTACAAGCAAAATCCGACAAGGAACTAGATATAATTGTATCTAAGAGAATCGAAGAAGAATTGCAAGCGGCGACTAAGAATAAATCCAATCTACTAATTTTCTTTTCTAAGGTGAGTGACGAAATCATTTTAGGTACCTATGAGTACTAGAAATATTAGAAATCGCCAAAAAGTTCCTCTTTACTGATTAGAAAATATTATGGCCTATCTCTAAGTATGTAGGTAATATTCATTATATTATAGATTTATTTCTTCTGATTGATTCTGTCAATCGGTCACAAAGTACAGGATGTTAGTTTTATACATATATACAGAAAACTAACACCCTGTATTTTGTGACCGGAAAGAATTGCTCTTTTAAACATATTAGATTTAAAGTCATAGGGTTTTGTATTTACCATATATATTGCCATACTTTGTATTTATGTAGTTTAATAAGAAAATCTTTAGCAGAAGCCATAGAAAGTTTTTATTTTTAGGCAACCTGTAAACTTGCAGAAAAAACACAAATTAAACAGTCAGCTTCAAATATTGAAAAAGAGGAAGAAGATAAAATAAAACCCGGTAATGAATCACAACAGAAATGCGAAGTTAATGAAAAGACAGATAAACAGAGAGCAAAACCTTCTCAGGAAGCTATGAAAAATAAGATTACTCTACTCGAAAAAAAAAAACTACCAGAGATACTATGCCAAGCCGTGCTGAAGTTGATAAACAGATCATTAAGTTGCGCGAGGAAATAAAAACAGCAAAACAGTCTTTAAACAGGGAGGTTCAAAACGCAGTTGCCCAGAAGAAACACAGCGATGGTATGAAAAGACAGTTAGAAGATATTTGTCATGAAAATCCAGAAATAAAAAAAAGACTATCTCTGAGGGCTACAGTGGGACGTCCTAATCTTGAAAGCAATCAACATTCACTATTGAAAACAATCGCGGATAATAGCTTTATTTGGGAGTGCAGCAGAAGACGGAAGACGAACGGAATCAATTCGCAGCGTAAAAACCCTTGATGAACTCGCACAAGAATTACGTAAAATAGGATTTGACATTAGTCGCAGTGGGACATATCTTCGTTTGATTCCCAGAAAATCTAATTCTGCAGAGGGACGAAGACATGTATCGACAGTCCCTGTTAAGCTCATTCGGGCTCAAACTGATCACCACAAGAGCCACTTAGCATCCATACTTGGACCAGATCAAGTATTTTTCATATCTCAAGATGATAAAGCTCGAGTCACTATTTGTGTAACTGCGGCAAATAAGCAAGCACCTCTTCTAATGCACATGGAATATAGAATCAAATTGCCTGATCACGATTGGGTAATCGCTGAGCGTCATAAATTAATACCATCTGTTTATGCTGGTATCAAAATCACTTCCAATATGCTAGGAAAACCGCAAGCCGTTGGATATTCTGGACCAACATACATCGCTATTCGAAGTGGAAAGCATAGTTCATCTACTGCTAATACTCATGCTCAGGATTTCGAGAGGTTTCTCGAACTTGAAGAGTTTCGACCATTAGCTAAAACTGACCATGGACTAGTAAAACCTGTGGTAATCATGACCGTTGATGGAGGGCCAGATGAAAATCCACGTTATCAAAAAGTCATAGGGTTTGCTATACAACACTTTAAGCGACATGATCTCGATGCATTGTTTTTAGCTACCAATGCTCCTGAAAGAAGTGCGTATAACAGGTAGAGCGCAGAATGGCTCCTCTTAGTCGGGAACTGGCTGGTTTAATATTGCCGCATGACCATTTTGGGTCTCATTTGGATGAACGTAGCGTTACAATTGATAAACATTTAGAAATATCTAATTTCGAATTTGCAGGAAAGGTATTAGCTGAAGTATGGAGTTCAATGGAAATTGATGGCTATAATGTTAATGTAAAATATGTTGGGGCAGGTGAACAAGATCTTCCTGATTTTCCAGACATTAAATGGAATTCAGAACATGTGTGTGAGAGCCAATACTTGCTTCAAATTGTAAAATGTAGAAATGCAGAATGTTGTCGTCCAAGAAGTGGCCTATTTAGATTACTAGACAGTAGGTTTCTTCCACCACCTTTAAAAGTAAAACAAACAGTTGATGACTTAGTTTTGGATGCAGGAGGGCAATTTCTTAATCTTCCAGTCAATTTAGCTCTACGCTTAAGTGCTTCACTCAAAAATTTCCTGCAAGTGCCCTATGATTATTTTTGTCCGACAGTAAAATTGAGGCTATAAAGTCGAACATGCAAAACGTGTGGTCTTTATCATGCTTCCGTCAAGTCACTAAATCGTCGCATCGAAAATATCCATAAAAAAGTAAACACGCACACTGATAGGAAAGTTAGACCTGTATGAGTCGCTGCTCGTCGTGCTAATGAACTGATGTGCATTATTCAAAATTTAGAGCACCATGATGTTGAATGGCTCGATGAGAACGACGTAGACATTCCAAAATCCTCTGAAAGCGAGCAACTGAGCAGCAATCGAAGCAATCCAATGTGATCGAAAACTTAGAATCATGGATTCGGGTTTCATGGACTGAAGACTGTTAATTTGAATTTAATATATGTACCAAAAATTTACAATAAGTTTGTTATTATAGTAAGATATAATATTTTTGTCCTTTACTCTATGTTGAATACCGTATCAGTAAAATATAATCTCTATCCTAAATCCACATATGTGGCTCATTGGACAGTCAATGTGTTAAAATGCGGTCCTGTGTATGACATGTACAGGGTGACTTCGAAGTTGAGTCATTTATTTTAACAGTGAGTAGATCTGATCAAAAGAAATGTTTTTTTCCTTTACCATTTTTCTGGTAAAATTAAAGTAACAAAGTTATAGCCCTTTGGAAGTTTGAGTACCGCCCTGTCTCAATAATAATATTATGTGCTCGTGTTTGGCGACAACGGATATAATCCGCCGTATCGGTTCATCGCATCGGAAACAAAAAAGCGAAAGAATTTGGAACGATGTTTTTACAATTATTTTATTCATTTGTATACAGTCAGTATCAGTGAATAGTAGTGTCTGTTGCGTGGCTCAAACGAAATAAAAAATGGCACATGTTTATGCGGATCGGTTTCCCAATCGAGTGCAACCAACCCCTCGTGCCTTTGTTAATGTAGTACAACGGGCTCGTGAATCCGGTGACTTTAAGACCACACGGGGGACTGCATG